TATGCATCAGTATTTTATGAATTTCAATTTTTGGCATAAAATTCCGATTAACTTTGCCCTGACGACTTTCTTTGCACAAAGCCATCTTTAGAGACGGGTTTGTGTAAATAAAGTAACTCTGCCCATCTACCCATAACCATCTTGAAATAGGCAAAACCTTGCAAAAAGTTTTATCGAAAAAATCGAGCATACATTGTTTCACATGATCTCCAAAAACTTCTTTATTGTGCTCAACGGATCACAAACAATTTATTCACAAAATATGACAAAATAACATAGAGAAATTAATAAAAGTCTTTTTATTCTTAGTTTTCAACTCTAGGCCTACGCATAGTGGCGTTTTGGCGCAGGCCTAAGCTTACATTGTTCCTACACCACTGGCAGGGCCGTAGGCAGGAGCGGAGGGAGCGGCCAAAGCGCGTAACCAGGCATAGGCAAAGGTACGCAGTTGCGTATCCTAAACGATGGAGCTCTGAGATATATTGTTGTTGAAAATAAAAAAGTAAAGCAAAATATTTTGTTTCATGAACTTTCTTGAACTACTTCTCTTCAAGACTCCAGACAAGTAACGTTTTTACATTCTGGTTACATTTTTGTGTAAACCAACTGTGTCCCGTACCATGATATCTCCACTGCCCTGCGATTCTGCGACTGTTGTTAGTTCTACCCGTCTGCAAGTGGACGCAGCTTCAGTTCTATGAGGCGTCTCAAGACCTATTTCAGGTCAACTATCGGACAAACTAGATTAAGTTCATCATCTATAGGGGTGGCAAAATGACAACTTCGGAAACATGTAAGGGAACATGGGGCAAAACGGCCCTAAAAATGTAATTTTAAGTTGTTCTGTACGGGGTATTTTCTTATCTGTCAATCATCGCGCACAATGATGTTCCACTTTATTAATGGTTTGTGGTTTACATTTTCCGAGTGTTTTATACTTGTCTAGGACTATCTTCTGTGATTTTCAATGGTCAAAAATATGGGCAAAACGGCCCACCCTCTGCTACATTGGTTTTAAAACCAAAATGAATCAATCGCAAGACTCGTCCACACACATCTTATCTCAGACGTTCAAACCTTTGACAGATAAAGTATTTTTAACCCCTAACATAATTCTAGTCATTCGATATGTGTCGGAAGGAAATAAGGTACAAGTCAAATGTTAAAATCCACAAAAAAAGTATAACTTCAAATCCAAACTACTAGAATCCTAAGCAGTTTTTTTAAATATAAAAGTAGTAGTAAAAAGCCAGCTGATTTATTCTCCATCAAATGGTACCAAGATCATTTTGTAACTGTCATGTATGACTGAGCAATCTTGACCACTATGAGAGGTGGTAAAATTAGCACTGTGCCAAGTTACCTTCCTGTGTGGCAATTGATGTGTAATTGGCTTAATATTCTTTTTTGGGTTTTCGGAAAAGACCGACCCCACCGACCACCGACCGGTCGGTGTTTTCCACTGGTAGCCTCAAAACAGGGTTTGAAGAAAATGTGTAAAAGACCGACCATATCATGTAAAAGACCGAACATATTTGTAGCCTTAGAATATTAATAATTTGATTTTGAATGTCAATCGTTGGACTAGGCAACGTTTTTTACCGATTTTGTACCTTGCAACGAATGGCAAGCAAACAAATTGGTCATGACCGTCTCCTCTCGATTAATTGCCCTGCCTTAGGTCCTAACCTATCATTAACCAACCTATCGTTTCTACGGGAATCTATCCTAATTTTTTACTGAAATTTAACAATTTCGAAACAAAAATGATTTGTTATCGTCATAGCCTACTGAATACTGAACACGATATAATGTTACATGCGTTCTCTTATCGGGATTAAAAGTGACTTACCATTTCAGTACACCATTAGAAAGCTTTTTTTTGTCATATCAAATGTAGTTTTTACCAGTTGACGTTTAACAACTGAGAAATCAAACATAACGTTACGACGTCAATATCGACGATGTTTGTGTGTTTTTGTTATTTGCGTTTCATATGAATGAAGAATGAACTTAATGCAATGTTACGTGCGTTTTTTCCAAAGTGACTAACCAGGATGAAATTGGTCTTCTAACAACTGAAACATCACTTAAAAATATGACATTACACACCACGACGATGTAACGTTTTCATCGTGATTTGAAATGATAATTATACGTTTTTAAATCACGACCTAGTAAAGGTACTATAGTCATTGGATTCCCAGTTTTAGTTTTACTTCTAATTTTGCATTTTTTCATCTTTATGTAGCCTAAAAGACCGTCAGCCGACCACATGTACCCAACTGTGGAGAGTGACTGCTCGGTGGTCGGTGGTCGGCGGTCGGTGTTTTACGAAAACCCTTCTTTTTTCTGTTACATTAAGTTAGATGTCAGACTTTCCATATTGAACTGAACTTGGGACTGAGTAACTCTCATATGAAAAAAGGTTTGGCAAAAAGCTGAACTTATTCTAAAATAGGCCTGCAAAATGGTTCAAGAACAATTGGTTTTCAAAATAAATTTTACAATAAATTTAATTTTTTAGCAGTAAAAACCAACAAAAAAATTCTAAAAAGCAAGTCCCATGTACTGTTTATGGAACCCCTATTCTTTCTATTGAAATGGATTCTAGCAATACTGTCCCACATGAATCTACTTGTTTAAACTCAATAAGCTTGAGTTCTTCTGGAAAAATGAGGATTTCAGCAAGGGTTGACTTTACATAGGAATATAATTAACTTCAAAGCTGCATATCATCAAGTAGAAGTTTCATTGCTGTTCAAGAGGCTCTTTGATTCCAATTTCTGGAGAGGGAGGTACCAACTAAAGTTATGCAAAATTATGCAAAAGTGTGAAGAACATAAAAAAGTATTAATTTGAACATTAATAATGTTTTTAACACAAAAAACATTCACTGTGTCAATCCTACTTGAATGCTAACTTGGCACAGTGCTGATTTTACCACATATGAATAGAATAGAATCACAATATGCGAAATCGATGAAGTTGTCACGGATTTTAAGTGCAATTGGATGAAAAATGTTTGAATTTTCCCAAATAATACTACCCCTAGGGTGGGCCCAGAAAATAATTGGGCCCAAAAATATTTGTGGGCAAAAAAATAATAGGCCCGAAAAAGTGGGCCTTTTTGTCATTACTGGGCCTTACCTACTTACTGGCCCTGTGTTTAATTTCAGGCCAAATCTTGAAAAAGATACCAGATTGTAACGCTGGTTTTCATTGGCTGCCAGCTATAATTTTCAACGGCGTAAAAATCAATTTTGACGCCGTACAAAATCGTTTTTAACGGCGTAAAAAGTAATTCTTTACGGCGTATAAAATCGTTTTTACGGCGTTAAAAAATAATTTTTAACGCCGTTATTGTTTCACATGATCTCCAAAAACTTCTTTATTGTACTCAACGTATCACAAACAATTTATTCACAAAATATGACAAAATAACATAGAGAAATTAATAAAAATCTTTTTATTCTTAGTTTTCAACTCTAATTGGCCTAATAATAGGCCTGCAAAATGGTTCAAGAACAATTGGTTTTCAAAATAAATTTTACAATAAATTTAATTTTTTAGCAGTAAGAACCAACAAAAAAATTCTAAAAAGCAAGTCCCATGTACTGTTTATGGAACCCCTATTCTTTCTATTGAAATGGATTCTAGCAATACTGTCCCACATGAATCTACTTGTTTAAACTCAATAAACTTGAGTTCTTCTGGGAAAATGAGGATTTCAGCAAGGGTTGTTGACTTTACATAGGAATATAATTAACTTCAAAGCTGCATATCATCAAGTAGAAGTTTCATTGCTGTTCAAGAGGCTCTTTGATTCCAATTTCTGGAGAGGGAGGTACCAACTAAAGTTATGTAAAATTATGTGTGAAGAACATAAAAAAGTATTAATTTGAACATTAATAATGTTTTTAACACAAAAAACATTCACTGTGTCAATCCTACTTGAATGCTAACTTGGCACAGTGCTGATTTTACCACCTTTCATAAAAGTCATGATTGCTCAATCATCCATGACAGTTACATAATGATCTAGGTACCATTGGATGGAGGACAAACGGGGCCTTTAACTGCTACCTTCGTATTTTTAAATAATTGCTCAGAATTCTAGTATCATAGCTTTGAAGTGAAAAGTAGAATTATCTCTTACGTAAAGCGAGACGACGCTGCTTGGTTAAAAATGGGCGGTCGAGAACTGTGGCAGGATTTCAAAATATGATTTTGTGACTTTAGAGGAACCAACTTTTTATCGTTCAAAAGATATTTCGATGGGCAACTTTGCACCACAGGGCCGTTTTGCCCCATGTTCCCCACCATTGACCTACCAATCTATCCCCTTACAATCTCAAATATGATACAGTAACTCCCAAAAGAATCACAATATGCGAAATCGATGAAGTTATCACGGATTTTAAGTGCAATTGGATGAAAAATGTTTGAATTTTCCCAAATAATACTACCCCTAGGGTGGGCCCAGAAAATAATTGGGCCCAAAAATATTTTTGGGCAAAAAATAATAGGCCCGAAACAGGAAAAAGTGGGCCTTTTTGTCATTACTGGGCCTTACCTACTTACTGGCCCTATGTTTAATTTCAGGCCAAATCTTGAAAAAGTGGGCCTTAAATTTCAAAATTTGGGCCCACTTTTGGATTTAAGGGGCCCCAAATTTTTTCTCTGACCTAAAATTTGCCCCCCCCCCCCCCTTATTGGTTCCCAGATCCGCCTCTGAGCTCCCCCTTGGCAAAATCAAAGGAAAATATCTGACTAGGCCATGAGTTGCTGTGGATTATCATGCATGAATGCTTCCTGGCATATTTTCAATTTACTATTGGCTAAAGACTCATTAAATTCCAATGGTTTCGAATTTCAGTGCATGCCCCTCAGCCCAAATTCCCGGGATTTTAAATCATGTGACGTCGTTTGTAGCTCCATGGCAACAGAGAACAAATATAGATGGCGGGACTGATCAAACTATTTTTTCGTCCAATCAAAATGAATTCTGCTATTCACTGCGTAAATTTTCTATTGCTAAAATTTGTTGTTGATTTTTGATGAAGGAATAAAAGAAGAATTGATGGCTTCATCGAATCTTTATCTTATTTGTACCAAACTATAAGAAGGAAACTGTAACCAGCGACATTTCTTCCAATTTTCCAGGAGTAAGCTTCAATCAAAGCCCAGCATTCTTGGATTGAAAGGTAAGAAAAATTCCAAAATGGCGTTTCCTTTCCCCAAATCTCACTTTCTGATCAACTCAAAAGTGATTTAGCCTACTTCGCTGCAATCATATGCACTCAGTGCTGCAGCTTACTAGATACAGTCAAATTTTTTATTCTGTCAATCAGTTCATATGGTTAGAATAAGGAAAGAATGTGATGTAACCACGTGTCTACTTACTAGCTTGTTCTATGTCTTCCATCGGACTAGGTTACATCATGGAACGCAGCCAAACACGACAATGAAGCCAGTATTCTGAGGTTATAAAATCTAAATCTAAATAATTTCCCATTTGCAGCCCCTTGGAGATTTCCGGAATTGAACAAAGTAGCGAACGTTCCGATCTTTCAACTTTAGTTCGTTGTTTTTTCACCACCTTATGTGTACTGTTTTCATTTAGGAGGCGGTCTTATTTGAATGCATCATTACAGGTCTTTATGAATCAATAGATCAATAAACAGCTCTAAAAATACAATTTAGCAGTTTCTTTCACTGCGTACTGCGCATGTTAGGCACGAAAACAATTTAGCAGTTTCGTTCGTTGCGTAATTGGGCCTTCTATAATCAGTAGCAAATGCTCGGAAAACATTTTCAAAAATATTTACTTCCGATTTCCTTGAAGACATGATTGGGTGACACGTCATTGACATGTGATTAAGTCACATGATCGATACAGTAACTAGTCACGTGATCAGACATGTGTCACGTGTCAGTCACGTGAGCTTGCAAAATGGACGATCTAAATTTCCAAAAATTCGGCTAAGATCAAGATAGATATGCGGTTGCCTTCAGCGTCCTGTTCGGCTGCGTTCCACGATGTAACCTAGTCCGATGGATGACATAGAACAAGCCGGTAAGTAGACACGTGGTTACATCACATTCTTTCCTTATTCTAACCATATGAACTGATTGACAGAATAAAAAATTTGATTGTAACTTGGAATTTTCATTATTTGATGAGATATATCTAAAATTAACTTTCTGTACGTAAGCATATTTCCATGGGCTTTCCATTTGCTATTGAACATCATAATAAATATTTCCCAACAGAACATTCATGTCAGTTGGCCCATGCCACTTTTAAATACAATACAGCTTCAGGACCATGACCACTGTAGGCTAGAGCAAAAAGGTATAACATCAATGCCATTTCGTTTCATTTTGGAGTAACTTTGGCGTAATGTCGGTCAATAGCACTTGCGCTAATGTTTATTGTACAAAAAATATCCGATTTGAAATAAATATTGATATGATGGGATAACTTCGATACCTTGTTTATTTTTCTAATTTCTGATCTGGGCGTGGGGGGCACACAGGGTGCTCATACACAAGGTTGCTCACAAACACAAAATCCTGGATCTGCCCCTGAAAATACAAGCAATATACATATTCATTCCGAGTAACATATTCATTCCTAACCAAACCCGTCTGGCCCAGTTATCTACTCTCGATATCGTAGGCCAGACTCGATCCAATGCAAAAAATTTACTCCGGAAAAAACACACTGGTTTTTCAATGTATAATACGTGCTGATAAATGAATAAACATCATAAAAATCACTTACGTGTTTGTTCCTTGTATCAAACTTTGTATTTATATTAGGTTTCCATCGCTGGATGACGGCTAATAAATAAGAACGAAACGTCTAAACGCAGCAAAAAGAAAAATTCTTCTGCAATCTGTTCGTGATCTCGTAGAATATCGAGAAGAGAAGTCTCGGCTGCTTATTTCGTTCAGTACTACATTCCGTCAGTTCAACAAATTGAAAAATCATATTTAATGTCCACCATATTTCTTTCCAGTTTAAATACAACACAGACACGTCTGTTTTATAAAGTAATCTACGTTTTGATAACAAATTGCTGAACAAATCGTAATATTTGGAATGTATTGATACCCGGATAATGTATTTTCGTTCCATGAAAGTTTAAGAATTATCGCGTCACACTCGTGTTACGTCACATCACGTGACTTTATTCGGTGCGGAGAACTGACGAAATATTGACAAAATGTTGTGCCCATTTCAACATCAATATAACAAACAAAACACCACATTTACGCGTAAGTTATGTTCTCTTTATTTCAAATAAATACTTGGGTTTACATGGTACCCGATGTTTTGGTTGGATGGCTAATAGGGAATGAATAATAAGTGATGATTCAGTGACATGTTTTTTCCGGAGTAAATCCCCCCTTTTTAGCATTGGACCTCGTCTGGCCCAGATCTACGACGTCAGGAGTAGATAACTGGGCCAGACGGGTTTGGTTAATTCATTCCGAGTAACATGGCTATTGTGAATGTAATCATTACTAGTCATTTTTGATTTTACTTCTCTGCATATGACAACATATAAAAATATGGTATGACTCAGCGTGAGCCACTAAATTATTTTTATTTTTCACTGCATTCTAGTGGTTAAATTAGTCAGGATCACATTCTTCAGCATGTGATCCTGAGCTTAAAGAAATATACCACAAGGAAACAATGCATCACCGACAAGGCAACTAATTTAACCTTGTGTAAAGTTTCCTTTGTTTTTCCTGTGTAGATGATTTACTGTTAATCATTTGATTAAAATGTAAAGGTAGCACTTTCCGACCTCAGTTGATATCAATTTATAAAGTATTTTTAACTACATAGTTGTTAATTTGGAATGAAAAAGGAGGATTGGTTGCCAGGGTCTCAAATTGATATTTAACCTTGATCTTGATCAATTGGAAATAAGACCAAAACGTGCAATTCAAATTTTGAAGTGTAAAAATGGTGGATGTTTTGATTTTGAATTTTGTAATCATGACATGACTAAATAATAATAAGGTCAAGGTCATAGCACCATACATGTATATGTAGGGGGTGGGGAGGGGGGGGAGATTTCCCAAAGATCACCTTTCATATTGGCACGTTTCATAACTAATTTTATAAACAGGCCTCATTTGCCATTGAAATGGATCTCTGAATGCTGCTTGTGTTTTATGAGTATTCTCTGAAAGTTTGGAATGATTTCAAATTTTACTTTGCGCATGCGCGGCACTGAGAAAGCATATGCTCATGATTGTTCACGTGATCACATCCTATAATTTGATTGGAGATTGTATAATGGGGAATCCCCAAATAGAATAGACTATGAAAGAATTACAGGAGCTACTCACTTCTTCTGATGTATATGGCAATAATATCGATGTTGCACTCTCGGAGCCGAATATCCTTGAAATTTTGCACTCATATTAGAAAATGGCTGAAAATAAATTTTCTACATCTTGATGACGTTTCCTTAATACCTCCAGTGAGTTTGTGTTTATCACAATGTTGACCACTGAACGAGGTACTAAAATAATGTGTTTGTTGGATTTTTGGAAGATTATTCTATATACCAAACATGAAAGAGGCTCTTTCAAAAGTAAAGAGAAAAAATATTATATTCGTATATTATGTTTTTTATAAAAATCAATTGAGTAGTGCTGATTCATATCAACTCGATTAAAACAATTCTTAACATGGTTAAAGAATATTATTATTGAATAACACTAACGATTCTGTCACATAACATGCAAAAACTTGTTTAGTGGAATTTTTTTACCAATTTTTGCAAACGTATATATTTGAACATGTAATAATAATGCAATTTCAAAACTCAGTGGTCTTTTTTTCACAGTGTTAGTGTTCAATTCCTGTTTGGCATTATATCACCAATAAATGTTTTATCTCCATCTACATTTTCTGTATCAATTATTCCACTTAAGCAAATGAGGTCATTGTGATCCAAGCACATTCATTGATTGGTATATTGCCTTGGAATAATAACATCTCAGTGTGGACAGGAAGATCTCAGTTGTGATTGTATCAAACAAAAAAAGACTTAAGCAGCAACTGAGATCAATGTATTGTTCCCTTTGTTCTCAAAAATTGTTATGTATATTGAGTTGTGGTGATTACTACTAGGGGTCTCGCGATTGCTCGGATTTGCTCGAGCAGGATACTCATCTTGAATATCGCTTAGAATCCTGTATCGTTTTTATCTTCCAAAAACAGCAAAATCATGTTCAAAAGCACCTTAAATACCGTAATGAAATTTTATATTTTTCCATTTTGTTATTTACCTAGCGCAATCCGGCTTAGAATGTACTTCTGGTTGGATAAAAAACCTAGGAGAATAAAATTCTTGAAAGAACAAAGGTATTGGAGCATTTTATAACCTAATTTTCGCCAAAGACAGATTTCCATGTAATTTAGTGACAACGACCTGACAATATAGACAAGCTCATGTTTCTAAAAACAAATAATATGAAGTAATTCATGTTTTAGCTTAGTCTACATTGTTTGTTAGTACTTAGACTTGCCTTCAGAGTGATTATCAGATGAACCATGGATTATATATTTGTGGAATGTTGACACAAGTAGACATTAGCTTTAGGGCATTCGTACTGTTTCTCGAGTTCAAAGTTTAGCGCTTGGCACATTTGGCATGTTGATGTCTTGTTTACCCACATGTTCTCATAAAACAAATTTTATATGTTATGCACTTAGATTGCTCGTATCGCGAGGTAAATATCGTTGCTCGTATCGAAATTGATGATGATGTTTCGTGGGACCCCTAATTATTACCAGTTTGGATCAACTTTCTACACCACTCAATTTGAGAAAAATTGTGAACACAGCTCACTGTTTTTGCTTTTTGTCATCTTTTTGATCAACTTTCTGTTCCGTACTATCCCATTCCACCCACTAAATCTATACTTCCCAAAACCAGAAAACCAAACTTTTTTGCGTTTGAAATGATTATGCAAATCATTGAAATTCTGTACATCTTAAATAACTGCTAAATATCCAGTTACTCTACTGCTCAACAGTCTTGATAGTATTGTAATGAATATATTTTCTCTGTACTTTCAGGCACTGAAATGTCTTCTGGGTGGCTAGGAGGGCCCCCTGGCAGGTAAGTTGTAACCCACTTATCTTCACATATTCAAACAAGTGGACTCAGTTCACCTACTCAAGATGATGTAAAGATGTTTGATACTTTCTGATAAAACAATTTTGTACCTACAAATGAGAAATATTATGAAAATAAGACTAGATATATTTTGACCAATTTTGGTCTGAATTGTGGAAATGAGAAATTTGTACCAACTTGTGAAAAATCTGGAGAGAACATATGTGATACCTAGAAGATCAATAAGCTTTAAGGACCTGAGGTACATCATGTACCGTACATGTATATCCATTCCATCATTTCTGCCTCAATATGACTAATAACTTATTGTCAATACTTTGATTAAATATATGGGGAATAAAAGATATTGATTTGGTTGAAACACAACAGATCGAAATGGACTTTATTGACAAATTCCTCAAGGACTGCTAATAGATCTCTTAAAATGCTGTAGGTTATTCTACGTTGACATATGAATGTTACATGAAAAATCGTTAAAGATAGATCACATTGATATCGTCCAAAAACCAAACTTATTGAATATCCTCGTATGAATTATGAACAGGACTGTGAATAAGAAATAATTATAAAATTAGGAGGTTATTAGCAGAAAATTATTAAGAATTCCTGAATTGATTGTTGTAATCTTGATCAATAGTACATTAAAACCTATCTAAGTGGAATACCTTTGGTACCTCTAAAAAGTGTTTTACTTGGGAGGTGTTCCACTCATAGAGCTTAATTTAAAATTATTTGGTCTTGAGAATCACAAAACTGTTCCATTTACGGATGTGTTCTACTTCTAGAGGTGTTTAACTTTACAGGTTTCCCTGAAATAGAACAATTTATACTCCTAGAAAATTTTGATTTTGATTTCAAGAATTTCCAAAAATTGAAGAATTTCAAAGAATTTTAGAGGACTTGTGAATCTTCAGCTATATGCCTCGGGAATGCTTCAGAAATGTACCAAGATTAACAATGAATCAAGTTTTATAAGATCGACCTTTTGAATAGGAATGAATACCCCAGTGATTTATCATCTACATGGACATGATTCCTCAAACTTTTTTTTTAGATTAGATAGCTGATGTGACTCTTTTGATTTGACTGTATCAACGATTTCCATTCAAAGATTTTTAACTTGCTTATAAATATGTGAAACTGTCAGACTAAATCATCATTGAAACAAAGTTAAAAAACTTTCAAAGTTATTTTTTCTTTTAAACATCACACTAAGGTTAAATCAAAATCCACATGTCAACCAGATCATGTAGTTTCATGACTGGAGTTTTATATTAATCCATTTGGAAATATTCTCTAAATCAAGAAATGAAATGAATTTTTCAGTTTTTCCAATGTTGTAAATGATATATTTAGCCTACCAACACACATGCTACCATCTATTTATTATCCATTTATATAGCAAATGGTTAATTAAAATTGCTAAATCACTCACGCAAGCTTGTAATTTAGACTGGTTTCATGCAGGTTGGATTCATTACGATTATATAGGATTATATCAGGGGTATACCTAGATTGAATCAGGGTGTAATTTAGTTTGATTGGAGCAAGTGAATGATGTAGTATTTAATGAGTTTTTTAATGAGAACAATAAGCCCTACAAAATACATGTTTTCAACAAAAATTGCTCATCTAAGCACACTTACATGCACATAATTATTTTGCAGGGCCGTCAGATGGGGGGGTGCGATGGGTGCGACCCGCCCCCCTTTGACACCCCCAAAAAATTTTTAAAAAAAATTTTTAATTTTTTTTTGAAAAATATTTTTTTTGGTAATTTTTTTTCATCGTCTCATACACTTTTAAAGTGCCCAGAAAGCACCAAATAGCATCTTAAAATTGTAAAATTTCCTAGAGGGAGTAGGCCATCCCTCACACCCCCCTCAATGCAATGGAAAAGTTCTGAATTTATTTTATGTATTGTAGACACTTTTAAAGTGCCCAAGTGCCAAGACATCATCACATAGCTCCTTGATATAGTAAACGGTTCTGGGGGACTAACACTTGCTCCCCCTCGGGATCCCCACCCCTCCCCACCTCCCCCTCTGGCACCCCGCCCCCCTTGACACCCCTCCAAAAAAATTTAAAATTGTAAAATTTTCTAGGGGGAGTGGGCCATCCCTCACACCCAAAACAAAACAATTGAAAAGTTTAGAATTTATTTTATGTATCATCTCAGACACATGTAAAGTGCCCAGACATCATCAAATAGCTCCTTGATATAGTCAATGATTCTGGGAGACTAACACTAACTCGCCCTCTTGCATCCCCACCCCACCTCCCCCTTCCCCCTTAACATCCCCCAAAATATTGTGATTTTTTTCATATTTTTTATTGAGTCATTCACTTCGAAAGTGCCCAGAAAGCATCAAATAACATCTTAAAATTGTAAAATTTTCCAGGGAAGTAGGCCACCCCTCACATCCCCCACAAAACAATTGACAAAAATTCTGAATTTATTTCATGCATTGTCTCAGACACTTTTAAAGTGCCCAGACATCATCAAATGGCACCTTGATATGGTCAATGTTTCTGGGGGGCAGATATGGGGGACAAACACTTGCTCCCCCTCTGGCACCCTAATCCCACCTCCCCCTCTGGCTCCCCCCTTTAACAACCCCCCAAAATTGAAAAAATGTAATTGTTTTTTATTGATTGAGTCATACACTTAAAGGGTGCCCAAAAGCACCAAATATCATCTTAAAATTGTAAAATTTCCTAGAAGAGTTGGCCACCCCTCACATCTCCTACCAAACAATAGAGAAAATTCTGAATTTCATGTATTATCTCAGACATTTTTAAAGTGCCCAGACATCATCAAATGGCACCTTGATATGGTCAATGTTTCTTGGGGACAAACCTTTGCTCCCCCTCTGGCACTCCATCCCACTTCACCCTCTCATTCTCTTTGATACCCCCAAAAAGAGTTTGAAGAAAAATTCACATTTTTTTATCGACTCATTCACGTTAAAATTGCCCAGAAAGCACCAAATAAGATCTCAAAAGTGTAAAATTTTCTAGGGGGAGTGGGTCACTCCTCACAAGTTTGGAAGTTGCATTTGTTAATTTTAAACACTTTAAAAGTGCCTAGAAGTCAACAAGTGACATTATGAAATCATAAAAATTTCTGGCAGCGCACCCCAAAAACTAAAGTATTTTTTTTACTCAAACACATTAAAAGTGCTCAGAATTAACCAGAGAGCATCTTGAATTCCTTGCTGCCCCCCTCGCTCCCCTAAGAAGAAAATGATTGAAACAATCTGAATTTCTTATAAATAGATTCTATTTCAATTAAAATACCTTGAAAGGGTCCAGAAATCACTGAATGTGATCTTGAACTGGTAAAAGTTCTCGGGATTTATGCCCTTGGAGTACACCCTCCCCCTATTACAGCGTTTCTCCAAATTGCTCATACAATATTTAGTCTAAAAACAATATGAAAACAATACTGTAAGATACTACAAAATAAGCTGAGTGGCCCCAATATAGGGAGTAACTGACCCCCCCCCCCCCCCCCCCCCCCCCCCCCCCCCCCCCCCCCCCCCCCGCTGACCCCCCCCCCCTTTGACTTCCGCAATTTGATTTACGGGGCAAAAAATTGACAACTTTATTTTCTCTTTAGTTAAAACCGCACCCCCCTTGGAGAAAAGTGTCTTACGGGCCTGTTTTGAAAGACATCACGGCTTGTTGCAATAGAACTCCTGTGGCACTGAGCGACTAGCCAGTGCGGTTGTGCTAGACAAGGTTACAAGGCAGTGTAACTGCGCTTGGATGAGCTTTTTTATTTGTTGAAAATACGTGACCATGTAATTTTCACCACAGGGTTTCTTGTTCTTTTTCATGGTACCCAGAGAGAAATTTCATTAAATATTATGTAATTCACTTGCTCTGCAGTCATGCAAAAATACCTTTTTTTTCAAATAAACATCAACGATGTGATGTGATGTGATGAATCTCTAAGTGATATCATGAGTGGTACTATTAGATACCACCTCTCAACCTCTCACTAAGATGGACTTTAAAAAGAATCCCAAAAGATTTGCGCCAAATTTTCTAAAAAAAAGATCTTGAGTTTTCTTCAAGGAAGCAGGAGAAGTGGTTCTATTTTTTGCATGTAATTTTAATTTTCTGATATACCGCTTGTCAAACCATTTGTGCTGTTATGCAGTAATTTATGATTAACGGGATGCAGTATTGTCTATTGTTTATATGATATTGTCATAGTTACATACTGAACTAAACTAAGAATGTAATGCAGAATACAATCAGGCTCAGAATTTCTCACAACAATAATCACACGTTTTGAATTACTCTGACATGCTTTGTACAGTGTACATGTTAAAGTATTAACAATTGTTTAAGAATGTATACCTCAACATCTTGTTGATCTTCATTCCTGGATGTCCTGGATCTGGAAAAACATCAAAAAGTCACTCCTTTTCTTGATTTATCAAAATGTAGAACTTTCTGTTGTTGATGTAAAACCTTAATGTTGTAGATATTTTAATATTTTGTCAATGGGGATTTAGCCGTACCTTTTCCCGAAATGAAAAAATCTTGGCTTATTGAAACAAATAAAAAAAAACTGTATAAATCAAAATATTTTAAGTATATAAAAATACACAGAATTCAGTGTTATCATATAGAAAAAATGTAAGTCCTTAGTTGTTCAAATTTCATTAAAAAAAGACTTGAGCTATAGATTTCTATAGCTATAGTATTGTGGGCTAAAAAGTTATCAGGAAAAAGAGAGGTGACTTGTTGTGTCCCAGCTACAAAATAATAGACTCTGCAGATTGATATTGGTACTTTTCCAGCTTGACCCTCGCAAAAAGTTTCATTGAATATATCAATGTTCATTTAGTTATTTTGTATCTTTTAGATGATTTTGTAGAAAACAATTTGCAATGAAGTGAAAAGAATTGAAGCCGAAGACTCAATGCATTGTATGATGACCATTCCTTTAGGATGTTGTTTCCTAAAATCAACACTCAATGCTCCGTATCTCGTGCAAATTTTGGAAAGCAACAGCATCAAGGAATGGTCATTCCACATTGCACTGATTCCAGGGCTTAAATCCTTAAATCATAGTGCAGAAATGACTGGGAAAGCCTAATTGGCTCAGAGGTGGCAATTTTCCTCTGGCATGAGTTTGATGAATAAGCTGTAACTCTAATTACAGAATAATAACCAAGAGTTATTGCTTATCTTCATCAGTGATAAACCAAATGCAGGATGAAATTGAACATAGTTATATCATATACTAACCTCTGAGTGCAAATTACAATCTGAGGCTTATATAATAATGCATGTTATATTGCAGTGTGCCAGATGATGACGCACCTCCACAGTCACAAAGTGTCAGGCAACAAAAGCTAGAGGCTCAGGTAAGTACAAATTTAGATTCTGATTTGCTATATTGATCTTTCTTTAGAGGTTTCATATTCCTATTCTCTTTAAACCTGCACATCGCCCCAAAACGCAATATTTTGAATTATATTGTTTTTACATTTTCAAGCTCTAATATAAAGTTTATGTAAATAAAAAATGTTTTTTTCTGCGTAATATCAAAGAACAATCATTTAGTTAAAAAAAATAAAAAAGTAAGTGCTAGACCACCGTGTTATTATGAATAGTGGATGTAATTAAATGCTACTTATTTTGAATGCTATGATTCGGAAGTGACGTCACGTTCTTCATTTAGAAACCTTTCCAAAATCATATTGTCGGCACCGATCGAAGCAATTCAATGAAAAATCTTTGAAATGACACATTTATCGTAAGTATTTCTACACAAGATTTGCCCCATTTGTTCATCATTCTATAAGCTTTCATTAAGCTCAAAATGATAAAGTTCACCCCCGAAACAACCCAAGATTACGTTTCGGGGCAAAGTCCAGCTTTAAATTTCCCATTATTGTTTTCTCCTTGAATTTTTGTTCTCGCTTGGATTCACATTCTTGTTCTCTTCCTTGAATTCATCATCGTTGTTCTCTCCTTTGATTTTCTATTTTTGTTCTCAACTAGGATTTGCCATTTTTATTTTTTGATATAATGATCATATTAAACAAGAAATGAAAAGGTTCCTGTGATCTGAGATCTGACCATCAATAGTCAAGTAAAGATCTGCTGTAGAGTGATTGTGATATGATATATGATATGATATGATATATACAGGCTCTGAGTTTGACTCTGATTCAGGCAAAACTGGTTAACTTGTTTCATTAACTCAATCAGAGTGTTTGCCTGGGTCATTTGTTTGATTTGAACACCTACAAAAGGCTGTGGTGTATGCCTGTATGTCTGTGTACTGTTGCACATGCAAGAATACAGAACTCCTTCAAATTGGGGTGACTGATCATTCTTTCATGCTGACATAGATAAAAAAAATGTGGGCCCCTAAATCCCCAAATTGAGCCCAATATTTGGAAAAATTAAGGCCCATTTCTGATAATTTGGCCTAATAAGGCCCCAAAGAGCCCAGTAATACCCAAAAAGGCCTCACATTTTTTCTGGACCCGCCCAAGGTCTGCCAGTGATTGGTCCGCCAATGTCAATCGTATAAGAAAATTTCTGTGACATGAATCAAATCTGTATAGTCTTCTATAAACACAGGCTGGTATCGAGAAGATTTGTCCGCTGTGACGGAGCATGCTATTTTTCATAAAAACACTAAGAATGCTTCACGATTTATTTTTTAACTCATATGTTTCGTTATATCAAAGATGATTACTTACTCCATGCAATGGATATATCATTTGCGTGTAACCTTCACTTCTGTTTGAAGTCCAATAACACTAGGAGTAAAATCTATTGAAAACGGCGCCAGAGTATCAAACTCTAAAATGTACCATTTCTTTTTTAACTTTTTAATGGCATGATATAGTGACACGATAATATTAACATATGTTTTCAACATAACTCTGAATGTATTAATGATATATTAATGCATTGGGTCTTTTTAATGTTTTTTATAAAAAATAATATTAATATTTTTTGTCCGCTGTGACGTAGCATTTTCACAGTTTACATTTGCAACTGCTCCGTCACAGAGGACAAAAAAATTAAACATTATTTTTTATAAAAGAATTAAAAAGACCAAATACATCAACATCTCATTTATACCTTCATAGTTATGCTGAAACCATGTGTAAATATTATCGTGTCACTATATCGTGCCATAAGAAAGTTAAACAAGAAATGGTACATTTTGAAGTATGATACTCCGGCGCCATTTTCAATAGCTTTTCTTCCCAGCGTAATTGGACTTCAAACAGAAGTGAAAGTTACCCGCAAATGATATATCCATTGCATGGAGTAAGTAATTTTGTATGGTATAACGAAACATTATGAGTTAAAAAATAAATCGTGAAGTATTCTTAGTGTTTTTATGAAAAATAGCATGCTCCGTCACAGCGGACAAATATTTGGATACCAGCCTGTGATAAAAGACATACCTCAAATGGTAAGCAACAGGAAGTATACATATAAATTATAAATACTCGTATAGGGCTCTCACTAGGAAATTATTTGAATGAGGTGCTGATCATACATACAACACTGACACACTAGCAAAATATGAATTGATTTTAAGGAAGGAGGCCAGAATCCAACCAAATAATTGAATTAGTATGATGTGAAAGGGTTGTGACGAGATAATATATATAACTAGCTTGGAACAGGTTGTGGCTAGAGTTGATTAGACTGTAAAAGCATAACCAGAGCCCTTAGACCTGACATATATTCTTGTACATTACAGTATAGACAAGTTGAGGCTGAATCAATCAAATGACCATATGAATAGGAGATCATGCATCATTTAGTACTTAATATCATTGGTGTTACTGTTATTACGTCTCTGTGGTCATAATTATCTGTAGCAGTTGGTCAGTACGGTGTTGGATTTGATTGCATTTCTATATAGGTTTTGTATCTTGTGTTAATTATACTTGCGTCTATTCCTCTGTGATTTCATTATACAGTCTTTTCTTTCTTCTGTCTCTCAATCTGCTAATAATGCCTCCACCTGACTCAACTCAGTATTTTGACGGAACGTCAATGTAAGAAAATGGATGAACCTCATGGATACAAGTTTTTGGGGTTTTCTTGATTTAAATCCACTTATAAGTCAAGTTGCAGATTATAATTTGACACAAAATTAGACAATATAGTCTAGTTTCGAAAAATGCCTTTGGTTTGGAAAGGATTTTTTTAAATGAAGGCCTTATTCATACAATTAGCCCCTCGCTTTTGCTACATTGAAGGAAGTACATGTTTTTTAAAGCTTGGCAATATTTTCAAGCTTTGAGGGAAGTTCATCCATTCTGTTACGTCGACATTTTGTCAAAGTAACTAGTTGTGGAACAGTGCCTCTTCCTAAAACAGCTGATTGCCTGTGAGGTCTCAATGATCTCACATGTAAAAAAAAATTCTTATTTCATGAAATAAGATCATCTTATCAACTAAATTGTATAATTTCCAGATTACCTATAATCTTATTTTATAGGCTTGATTGAAGGATTACAGTATCTCTAATTTAATATATAGAGAAGATGTCATTGTATCTAAATAATATATAAGTCAGTGTCTTATTACAACCTTTTCACTCAGGTATCCAGATACCTTTCAATTTGATATAATATCCCCAAAGTGTTGTTTACTAAGATTTACTCAATGAAACTTCATGAGAACATCCTCAAAGTACATAACTGACTATTATTTCAGAGGGCTCGTATGGAAGAGAAGCAGCGTAAGAAGCGCTCAACACCTGGTATGGTTCAAGCTAATGAACACTCCAGACCAAAGTCAAGAGGGGCCAGAAGGGAGGATGCACAGAGGCTTGTCTCAACAAAGACCCCCAATCAGGGCCCAATGTACCAACATGGTGAGTAAAAGCTAAAAAAGCTTTACATTAAGCTTTAGTCTAAACTGACAAATAGGGCCCACTGTACAAAGGAGTTATGTAGTTAAATTCAAACTTATTTTTTAAAACTTCTCCAACCTCCTTCCTGGTTAAAGGACAGATAGATGATGTAGATGATAATCCCTGCATTAGTTGGATGTCAAACCTTGTTTTGCTCTGTCCTGTTATGCCCAGTCATCAAATGTGCACTGGGGTGAGATCATGAAATACACGAATAAACTTAGCATTAAGAATCAAAATTTGCCCGAGGTTATGCTCCAGCCCTTCCATTTCAGCAACTTTTTTCTAATTTTATCAATGAAAACATGCTCAGTTTAAGGCTAGAGTCATCTGGCATCTCCCTGTCCCTATACATGCTGTATCACATGTGACATTTGGCATACAGTAATATTGTTACTGGAAACAATTGAATATTGAAAAGCCGGCTCAATCAGTTATGTCAGGTCATCATATCAGAATATCTTCAGATTAGACAGACAGAGAGAGAGAGAGATGTTATGAGTATTGTACTGTGAAAGTTGTATAATTTGAGATCTGCAAAACATCTATTCAGGTCTTAGACTCAGGTCACACATCATTATTATAGCTTATCACTTATCCCATCCTGGTTGATTAGTCAAACTATAGCATATTAGGAGTCATATATAACCTCCTTTATAACAAGCCAACTCCTTCACCTTACTTGCTAACAAAGAGAAAGAATTCACCTTGCTGTATGTGCAATTCCACGGTGATGATTATTTTTACAAGATTTTATTTGTTAAATATTTCCATGGAGGGTAATATCTGTTCATGGTTCAATGATTTTTACAGTCCATAGGGAGAAGGCAATACATCCCTTCAATTGAAAATGCAAAGTGTATTTTCGTGGCATAGAATGAAATATTTGTTTTATTATTATATCATTGCTAGGCTTTCCCAATATTCAGAATCAATTGAAATGGGCAAAATGTCTCATCAGTTTGAAAATTGTGAAAAGTGTTGCAGTATGATTAATCCATGTTACTTCAATAACCCATTAAAACCCTGGTATTTTAGCAATATTCACCATTTATTGAAATAAAGCATAAATAATTTATTAATATATGATTCATATATTTCAGCGTATGATGGTCCAGAGTCATATGAATTAAACAATCCTGATAACTTGTCTACTACTAAGGTACAGGTGCTCCATGTAACACCTGACTCTACCAATGACTACTCATCAGATTCAGACAGTGATGTACCCTCCATCAAGCCACCCACTAGTGAGTATATATTTTAATGTACCCTCCATCAAGCCACCCACTAGTGAGTATATATTTTAATGTACCCTCCATCAAGCCACCCACCAGTGAGTATATATTTTAATGTACCCTCCATCAAGCCACCCACTAGTGAGTATATATTTTAATGTACCCTCCATCAAGCCACCCACTAGTGAGTATATATTTTAATGTACCCTCCATCAAGCCACCCACTAGTGAGTATATATTTTAATGTACCCTCCATCAAGCCACCCACTAGTGAGTATATATTCTAATGTACCCTCCATCAAGTCACCCACTAGTGAGTATATATTTTAATGTACCCTCCATCAAGCCACCCACTAGTGAGTATTATACTTTAATCACTGATTCAATGGAGTGCAAATGCAACATTATTACTGAGTTTGTGGGTCATTTAAGGAGATTGTGGCTCAAAGGCAGTCATAGTTCAATTGTTTAATTTAATTTCATTAGATGTATTTAGGAGTGATTACATTGAGGTTAATGCTAACTGTGAACTCTGATAGTGCATCTAAGCTAATTACTCAGATGCGAGCTGGTAGTTACCAGTTTCGCCACCGGTTGGTTAATTTGGGGGAAATAACATGGCAGGGATTTACAAAGTTCCCTTCAACTTGAATATTCACCAGTTCTAGTGGTTCACTTTTCATATTACCCTCATGTATCTGATATTTATACAAATTAAAATATGTCTAATAAAAGAAAAAAATATCATCTGCCAAACACAAGAAAAGATATTTCAATTATCCCCAACCTAGAAGTAACATTTTCAAAGAAAATTAAATTTCGTTGATGAACTCTTTTCAAAACCACATTCTTAGATTCATTTTGAATGTAGATTCAAAATACTGTATGACAAAAGTTAGACTGAATTTAGAATTTTTAATGACGTAAATCAAGATTATTTCAACTCGCATCTAGTCTATTGTACTCATTTTGCACCTGATTGATTCCCCCTCCCCGCGTAACACATATCAGATTTACTTAATTTAAATGCTGTATTTAAGGAGTACCAGTTTAATTACTAGTGAATAATATCAATCACAAATCCATGAGGGTCTCTTGAATGGTAATTTAAAGAGTATTGAATAAACCAATGAACATATCAGGGCTATTTGTTAATTATGGCAGTATGACTATAATGCAGTTTATCAATCAGGTACTGTTATCTACATATAGTCATTTATTGTTACAAAATGGATAAGTATTAGACACAAATGATGCGTAATTTGTAATAGACCAGCATAACTGCTTTATTCATAGCTCAAAGAGCAAATGAGCATGATATAAGGCAATATCGATAAAAACGTAGTGATGAAATCATTGAAAATTCTTGTTAATCAGCCAGAAAATCTGGTTTATGCTTTGAAAGTATAATCGCAGCAAATGAAAATCTGTATTTTTTTTTCACTTGAACTGGTTTATGCCTGACAAGGCAATTTTTTTACATTGTGTTTGAAGTGCCCCTGTGTGATTCTTTCTGCTTCTTTATTAGGGTCATAATTGCCGTGAATGAAATCTCTAATTTGACGTGTTAATTCAGTATCACTTATCTTAAAATGTTCAATGAAGGTCTCAATTCTCATCCATTTTATATTAGTTAACAATTTTCTCTTCGTATTTGAGAACTTCATTTTTGGCTAATTCCAGTCTTTTTATTTTATTTCCATTTTCAAATAATTTTCTTGTGACATTTTGTCCACAGACATGTAAAATATTGTCCCTATAGGGGGAAATTGTAAATCAGATCTATTGCCAAGTGAAACTGGATTGGGTTGTCCTTGCATGGTGTTCTATCTAATCTCAATTTATGTGTTTTTTTCTCGTAAATATGAATTGAATGTCTTTATGGCATATTTGTACAATTATGAGCATTGACTTATATACTGTTTTTTTCGTTCCTTGCATATTCCACTCTTTTCCACTATATTTTGCATTCAAAAATATAACAGTCATGAAAATTCTCTCATGGGAAAATATATTTTATAGTCACCGTGTAGTATTAGCCAATGAGTATAACATCATAAGGGTCGTGTTAAAAAAGCAAAAAAAAAGAAATCATGATATTCCCAGGGATTAGTTAACACTATATATTTGTATTACAAAATTACTAAAATATTTTTTTTATCAAGGCATTTGTAGCAAAGTCATACCTGATGCAATGCTGTACAAACACCATCTTGCAAACAACAAGCTTCTGTATGAGTTCTAATTACAAAAATATCAAATGAAGTTTTCTCAATTTTATGCAATTTTGGGTCACCATTTTTCATTTTTCATGAATGATGAATTTTGATATTGTCTGTGTCAGTTACATACAGTATTAGACTTTTGTAACCATTTGCAGAACTTACCTTGTTATATTAGCTTGTATTACATACCTAACGGGGCCTTTATATTGAACTCAATGGAGCTGAAGGTCGACTATATATTACCGTTTAGTCGCCAAACTTTTTACCATGACAATCTTATGATGTCATGTTTAATTTCTTCTAAATTACACTCGCACACAGATGTGTGACGCCATTGATATTACGTAGCCATGGAAATAAAGGTATGTAATACAATATCATTCAATTTGAATATATGCCTTTGGTCTGTAGTAATATAGCCCTAACAAACTCGGGCTATATCGTGACAGACCTCAGGCATATATTCATTGATAGGGACATAACTGCTAAATATTCTCACTGTGCTTTCATAAACACCATCCCAACATTACAAAAAAATTGATGGACTTAGAAATAGAAAATCACTGCATCCCGTGGACGCAGTGCAAGTCATTTAAAAAAATCAACTCTGGATGAATGTATTGATGAAGAATCTATGTCCAGGTTAGGTTAAATGCCAGTGTATCAGTTTCAAAGGTTTTGATGTATAATACTTAATGCAGTATAATGGGCAATATATCATATGATGAATCATTGTACTAACTACACAGCCTGACATAGGCTGAGCAAACTTTGTTTAAATTCCTTTGTAATAATATCAATATGTGCTGTACATATTCTATGCCATTGCCAATACCGTTTTACATCTGGATCATTTGTTCAAAATTTGTCTTTTTATTTTTTTTGTTTTTTTTGTCTTTTTAGTTGTATTTTGCATTTTACAATCAGGTTAATTCCTAAGCGCTGGACCATCGGACCAGACCAACCAATTTTTGTACGGTAAATCCCAAAAATTCAATAAATGTTTCAAATTTTGCAAATACATTTTGTTTTCAAGACAAGAGGTAAACATCGTGAAGGCCATTCACAAGGGGAATCCCCTTTAATCTTTAACATACATTTATTCCCTTGACTATTGTCATTAATTTTGTGAACGTAGAACACCTGAGGCTTCCTAGGAGAGCTCAAACTCTGCTTAAAATCATATTTACGACAGTTCATAAACATTCAATAATCGCTATAGTTTACCTGCTCAAAGACATTTCATTTCCGATTTTCACGTCTGGTTTATGGGGAAGGATAATTTGCACAATATAACTCAAATACTGATGGTTACGCATCTTCTCCAAGGTAGTTGACTTCATGTTCCTTTATTTTGGTTATGTTTTGAGTAGAATTAGTACGCGTTATCATGTTTATGTAAAGGATTCCTTAATTGGTTATGAGTTGAGATTTTTTAAACATTTTTTTAAAAAATGTTTTCAACCAAGCGCAAAGCTCCATCTAGGTGCAAACTAGGCGGAGTTAGAGTTCCGCTTAGTACAGTGCCAAGAGTGAGAGGGTTTTTTGGGAGATCATAGTAGTGCCTTAATGGCTCTGGTTCTGATTTAGAGTAAAATATGACAGTGGCTTAGTGATCAGTAGGGCGGTGATGCTGATCTTGAAATCTTACAACTATTAAGCTTATTCGATTTTTCAAAACTTTAGAGGCATTAGAAAATCCTTTTGCAATTTATTTACAGTCTGATTGATGTTGATCCGGACATGTTTTAAAAGTTCAGGTCCGTATGTCCGGCAAACGGTGGTACGGACCAGAGATATTCTGAAATCACAGGTCCGTATGTCCGGCAAGCAATTTTTCCTTAGGAAATACCCTGTTTACAATATGACTCAGCATCTTATTTCTCAAACCACAAGTCCCTTAATAAACATTAGTGTGAGTAAACATTGAGCGAGTGTCCAGAAATATTGAGTGAATGGTAGATCATGTTGGATTGATACTAAAATGAAACAGTTTAGGTCAAGAAAATTATCTGATTTCAATGAATGTTACTGGTTTCATACTAACCCTGGAATAGTTCATATAAAGAAATGGTTTCATACTAACTCCTGGAATAGTTTATATATAAAGAATTAGTTTCATACTAACTATCAGTTTTGATCTAAAAGTCAGTGGTATCAGTTGTCATAAAAATATCCTGAATTCAATGAATTACCTAGTACTGTTTCTTGGAAACATGTGAACCTGATATCATGAAATGATCCATGTATCATGAAAATACCTAATATCATGGAAAAATTCTGGTTTCATGGAAATACCTTTGGTTAGCCTCATGAAAACTTGGTTTTCACCAAGACTGTTAAACATTTCATTACAAACTAGACGTAGTAGGTGTATATGGATATTAATCGCTGCATTTGTTTGACTTATCAAAAGTACTGTAAATAGTTCCTTCACATAAAATATCACAATGTTGAGTTAAGAACAATCGTGGAAGTGAGTGGAATTAGCAAGGAGTGAAATAATACGTGAAATATTTGTATATCTAGACTTTAGAAATGCCAGAAACTGGTGATTCTTATAAATTTAAGAGGGAAATGACCTGGGATTAAAGTATAAAAAGTGAAGTTCTTAACATTGGGTGTGAACGACATTATGACAATAACAGAGAAGTACTATAATAGATTAATGGCTTGGCTTATCAGTGAGCCTTTATTAGTCCTATCCAAATATAGACACAAATGAAAGAGCAAGAATGATAAACATGAAACAAGACAGACAGGGATGAATATTGTATTTTAAGAGAGAAACATGCAATAGGCAAAGTCATACTTGTTAGAGTTCACAAAGGTTAATTAACTTTGGACACCATCTTAAAGATGTACAATATTAAATTGAAACTGATGGATGGTTTTTGGCTCACACAGTGAGCCTATGGGATCGACCAGGCATTGGTCCGTCCGTTGGTCCGTCCGTTCGTCCGTTCGTCCGTCCGTCCATCAACATTGGCCGCACAAATTAAAACTGCTATTCGGATTGAGTCATATCCACAGTCATTTTATGCATATCCATAATGCCTATTTGACCTATCATCGCCATTTCCCAAGTTCGCCCGGTTTCCAAGAAATTGCTGATTTTGACGTCTAAAAGTCAAATTTTCTGTAAATACTAGTCACTTTGTTGAAGTAGAACTTTCAAATAACTTGTAGTAGTTGCTGTATATGCAACTTATGTCCTCTGAAGATTTCAAAGCTCTTGGAATAACAGTTTTTGGTGCTTACTCTATAAAATTTGACAAAAAGTAGGACGTCATTTTCAGGAAACTTTCTTATGTATAAAGTCAATGGCAGGTTTTATGATTGACAAGTTTCTCAAAGTTTGCCTTATACTTGATCATTTCTTGCAATGAATTACATCATAACTAGATTTAAGCATTCCCTACATATTGCTTAATATATGTCAGCATCAAATTTTTACCGTTTTTGAGATATTTGACGTAAAAAAAACACAGTAAAAATAAGTTATTTTTCAACTTGCTTCAATTTGACCAATTTCTTTTTGAAAATCATCTACAAGTTACCAGGAGTTCAAATCTGACATTAGTTTTAGGATTTGATCTTTACTTGACCTTCAGTGACCTTTGAAAGGTCAAAAATGTTGATTTTTCAAATTGATTTTTGGATGTAAATTTTGGTCAGCTTAATCACAAAATACCTAACTGAGCTCTAAATAAGTAAAATTTTCAAGGTCAAAGGTCATCAAACTAGGTCACACAACTGTGCTGTCTAAGTTTCTCACAGTTTGAGACTACAAATCCAAATCAATATTTTTGTTTGAAAGTCAGGATATACATTCCCCTGAAGGTTCCAAACTGTGTGAGCACAGGACCATGGGTCCTCTTTTTTTTTGGAAATGCGATGAGCATATTTACCAAAAAATTAAAAAAAATTTTGTATTTACCCAGCATGTTCAAAACCTAATCAGATGTTGGCACTGAAGTTTGCTCAAGCATTTATGCAAAGTTTGTATTGCGGACATTAGCACAAGATGACGACAAAGTGCCATAAAAATGTTATGATCCCGAATATCTTGGATCTAATATTTGAATCAACAGTCTTGACTTAATGCCACTAATTAACATCTACATGTGTGCTAATCTTAAAAAGTGTTTGCATTCTGAATGTGTTCTGAGAGCTGTGTTCACAATCTGATATCTTGTTGATTTTTATTAAATTGAATTTCAGAACATTTCAGAACACTCAAAAGTTATAACCTGAATAAATGAAATGTACTTTTTTGGAAGCTTATAGACATCATTGAAGAGCACCTTAATCGGTATGATCGAGCGTTTACGATGTCTCTGTTTTTAATGTCTACGTTTGAATTCCAAGAACCAATTGTGACATTCTTGCAACACTTAAAATGTTATCTTTGTGCTTATTGCACTTTGGTATTTTATGTCATGAACATGTTATTCTAAGATTTGCATTAGCTTCATATGTAAACAGTTTTAAATACAAATATTTCTATCTGGTTATGTTTATACCATATTATTTCATTAAATTTGAACAATTTTTCTGATTGTTCTTTATCATTTTATCATTTTAAATGATGATCACTTGTTAAGTTTATTTCACATTCATGACTTGCCTTTCTCTTTATTTTTCATTTCAAAAATGATGACCATTTTTGAGTATTTGTCATTTTCTGTGAAATTGGGAATAAAGAGAGATTTGGTATGTTTTAAATTTCATGTTCAGTATTCATTTTGAAGTCAACACCTGCCACAGTTATAGACAATATTAGCAGTTAATATCTATACTGTGCATCATATCACAATTCATTATAAGGTTTAATGAATTCAAATGAATATGGTAATTCAGTGATTGACCACAGCATTATGACCAACTGCATAGGTGCTGCAAACTATTTGCACCACCAAAAGAGTTAAATCAATTTAACCAAAACAGGTAATAAAGGGTTTAACCGAAAAAAAATTCTGGGGAGTTGATGCCATAATTTCATGTTTCTTTTCTTATTTGTAATTTTTATCAATTTTGTTCTTTAACCTATAAAATCTCCCTTGATTATACACACACAGATTGATTTGCCATTTTCATCTGGTCTGTACATAAGGGTCCTTCCCGATATAAAAATAGTATAACACTAATGGCACATGGTTCATGATGGGTCTGTCATGCAATTGCAAAATTTGGTATCATTATACAAAAAACATGATGCACCTGGTGTAACCATACAGTTTGATCATATGGATGTTAATACATTTACACTCCTCTAAAAAAGTTTCTTATCACCCAGACTCCCTGTTGGATAAGCTATTTTGTGTTTTTGTTTGAAATTTAATTTTTCACTCAATAACATTAGGTCAAAAAATGACAGAAATTATTTTTCAAATCAACGAATATAATCATATGATCAGATCTGATCAGGAAGTTAGTGTTGCCAAATTTCAGGAAGGAGTGTACTTCACTTTGCTGATTGCTTATACATACATCAAATACATGTATTATCAATTAGAATTATCACTATAGACAGTCAAAGGCCTGTTATTATGAAAATAATTATGATAGCTCAGGTTAAAGGTCTAGTGTAACCATAACAGAATATTGATTGTAGATAAGTCCCTAGGCATTCTGATTTTTCTATAGTATATATATATTATCTTATTTTTCAACTACCTGCTCTTCAACAATGCTGAAAAGTGATTGAGGAACTACTTTGTAATTATATTGTTATTAATAAGGTAAATAAAAAAGTTGAACGCTTGTGAGATCCTAAAGTAGAGGACATACTGTAAAACTGTGATACTATGAATTCTTACAAACCCTTGCTCCCCTTCTGGTGCACCTCCCCCTCACAAACCACAAAAACAGCAATACCAGTCTTTTTTCATAGTTTATTTCATTCATTAACATTTATAGATACAAATCAATATTTCAAAATACAGTTAGGCAATGTTTCTGACATATTTTTCATATTCAAAAATTACAATTAGATTTTTTGTAACAGCAACACCAGTCTTTCATTATAGCTCCATTTTCACAATAGCTAACATCCCAACATTGTGTGCATTTCAAAGAAAATATTTGGCTTAATACAAGACTATAAAGTCTTGAGAGAAACAAGTCTTAAGAGAAACCATTAGCAACAGGTGTTAACATAGAGATTTTTGCATTTACAGGCTTTAGTGACATTGGGTATGAATCACTTAGAAACAGCATAAGTTTTCATCTGTATGCTTTGTTGTTGTTATAATAATTTTAAAAACAATACATTTTTGTTATTTTAGATACGGAGCGAAAATTGAAACAACAGTCGATTCCAACAGTTATTGATTATGAAGAAGAAGATGATGAATCTACACCCATAAATCCCGCACCACCCCCCTATCCGGGGAGAGAGTACTCCCCAAATATACCCACCGACACCAAACAACAAAATGTAAGTTACAGCGAAAACAAAATGTAGCATTGAAAATGTTTGCAGTACAGTTAAAGCTTACATATTAACCTATTGGCTCATATGGTTAGCTTATGGAACCACCTCTTCCACCTGTCTATCTTTCAGTCCATCCATCATCAATTCGAATTTAACCAGTTCGAATCTGAACCAATTTTTTCTTGTCAATTTTATGGGGGTCTATGCTGGTAATTGGCCTCCAGCTTTTGCCTTGTTTTGAAGGAATCAACTTTTACACCATGTGACCCTACCAAATGGTGCCATTTTACATTTCTTGTGAAAGATGTGCAGGTATTTCCCTCAATACAGCAAAATACATGTAGATATATCAGATTATTATGTAATTGATTGTAAAATATCTACTCACTTATGAACTACCTGATATCCGGTAGATGCTCTATCTTTGGATCTGTGTGGGAAACAAACCATGGAGGTTACATTTTCCTATTCGGAATCAAGTTAAATGTAGAATAAAATAACAACTGCTTCAATTTTTCATTTAAGTGTTGCGATTGAAAATGAATAATAGATTTTCTGTTTGAAGGATCTTAATGCAGAGAGAGGTGCCGCTGCAAGAGGTTTGACCCCTGACCCTACAGATGACCTTGACGACTTTGTCACCCAACCTGCACCCCAGGGAGTCACAATAAAATGCCGTATAACACGTGACAAAAAAGGTGTAGATCGGGGAATTTTCCCAACATATTTCCTACACATGGAACGAGATGATGGTAAAAAGGTAAGATTGTACGAGGGTTGTCTCAAAAGTCTGTGACAGCAGTTCTTATGTGGTCCTCCATTCAATAAGTTTGTGATATATTTAAGGGAAAAAGACCAAGATTTTATGATTTATGGCGTGATATGTGACCGAAAAATTTATTCTGTTCATTGTTAAAAGACCGATTAAAAGAACGATTGAGGTCATATATTTGACATAAATCATAAAATCGAGGTCTTTGTTACCATTCTAATATGATAAACAGACAAGAAAAACAAATATTAACATATATGAATTTTAGTGGTCATACATACTCCAATAAAGACCAGTAAATCAATTGTTCTAGTTATTGTGACATCACGTATCATATTAGAATTATGAATATACTCAAAGGAAGACACCCAGTTCAAATCAATACTTTTCATCATAATTTCAAAACTGATCCAAGAGTATCAAAAATGATATTCAAATTACTCATTAAAATTTTTTTCAGGTATTTTTATTAGCTGGTAGAAAACGTAAGAAGAGTGCTACTTCTAACTATCTGATATCAATAGACCCAACTGACTTGTCCAGAGGAGGGGAAGCTTTTGTTGGAAAATTAAGGTATTACAGATTATCTGAGTTTAAAAACGCTTAGCCTCAAAAGTGTATTTCATCCAATGTGGGTAATGGAGGTCATTTACTCTTCTTAAAAAAAGGGAACAATATTATTGTCAGTTTGATGGACAGGTGCTCACTAGGTGCTCGCAAGCTTCTCACTTTTCTTGTGTTTTTTGGTAAAAATATAATGATTTTTGGACATACTGAATAAATGTTAATCTCAACTAAGCTTCAAACACTAAATGTATGGCTCCATTGGGACAGAAAGGGAGAAATAATGCTTTTTTATTGAACAATTTTTATAAAAAATCACCAATAGTTGCCACGGGTTCCCTACATAGGACTTCATAGTGACAGTGGCACATGTGGTGTGTCATGTTCTCATGTGGTGTGTCATGTCTTAATATGGTCCTTCATTATTCCAGATCCAATCTGTTGGGAACACAATTTACTATCTACGACAACGGAGACAAAAGTAGCAATAGCGACGGTGGCAGGAAAGAACTCGCAGCAGCAGCTTACGTAAGTGACAGCTACACCTGTCTTGGTGCTACTAGCTCTGACAAGATATGAGACCTATAGAATAAGAAATTCTCTGAAATGTACCAGGGACTAAGGGTGTCTCATTTTAATTCAAAAATGTTCTCAGATCACAATGACCCTCGAATACTCGTTTGCAAATGGAGCTGGTAGTTCAGTTTTTTTTTCAACTAAATCGGATAACTTTAAAACTGGTCCGTCTGCCATTCTTTCATTCCCATTGGATTACATTGCGGGCAACGCCCAATTTTCAATGGAAAACATTGTTTTTTACTTTGATTGCAAATATTAATTGAAACATGGAAACAATGATCAAATTTCATTTCGAATGATTTGACAACAATTCAAATTGAACACTTTCTTTTTTACAGGGCAGAAGGGTAAATAAAAAAGCAATGCTTTACTAACATTTATGTTATTTGTTAAAACCCCAAATGTTCAAGATGAATAATCCGTCCTAACAAAAGGTGGTTCATACTAAAGTATTATAAGGGTCTCTTTACCTTTGTTTGCTCCCTTTTTGCTGGATTAGTAAAGAGAACACACATTGCTTTGATAGTTTTTAAGAATAACTTTGATGAGGAAATAGTTATGAAAGATAATAAATCCCTTCACCTTTATAACATTCTTGCACCAGATTGATATATATGCAATTACCCTAAATAGGTAGTAAGCTAGCACCCAAAAATGTATTAGTTCGTGAACAAATTGAAATTACTTGTTTCTTATGTATTTTTATGTGATACTTCAGAAAATGTTTGTCTGACGCGCCGTATCCGGGGCGAAAGTTGTCAAATTGGCGTTTTCGACCCTAAAATGGAAAATTACAGGGGCTACTTTATCATCACTGAATAAATCATTCTGTTAGTCTTCAATCATCATAATAATTTTATGGGGAGTTGATTAGATCATGCTGAAGTAGTATGTAAAATTTCAATGCTCTGTCACTCATGGTTGTCATGGAAACCACAATTTTCGTTCAAAATATCCTTAATTTTGCAAAACCTGAACATGTACATCATGTAGAATATGGATTATTTTTTGAATCCATACATATCAGCACATTTTAGCACACTCAAAATAACCAGTACAGTTCAAACATTTGTTTAAATATTAAGGATATTGCAATTTACATGATTGGTCAGTGTCAAAGAACATACAATTACATGAGTGATCAAAAGTGGGCGTCGCCCCCATAATAGTAGATGATTGCTATACTCTATAAAAACAGAGTTTAACTTGACTTTTGAGATACATTTACACTAGACTTATTTGATTATATTTTATATCAAGCATTTCTAGTAATAATGTACATCTTAGTGTTATAGTTATTGCATGGGGGGGGGTACAGAGGGGGGCTAGTAAAAGAATTGGGAGGAGGCAGAGCTAATCAACCTTAAGTATGAAACTCATCTACATATATCTGGATTTCATGGGGTACATCTTCTGGGTCTTCTTCATATTCATCTCAATATATGGGATATTACAACTTACATGATTGGTCAGTGTCAAAGAACATACAATTACACAAGTAATCAAAACTGGGCGTCACCCCCATACTAGAGTAGATGATTGCTATTCTCTATAGAATCAGAGTTAAACTTGACTTGAGATACATTTACATTGGACTTCTTTGATTATACTTTATATTTTTTTCTGGTAAATAATGTACAACTCAGAGCAATGGTTATTGCATGAGGAGGGGTTGGGTTAGTAACAGAATTGGGTATTTTCTGGGTCTTCTTAGTTATCTCAATATACTGTATATAGTTATATGGGAGGGGGGGGGGGGTAGTAACAGAATTTGGAGGTGTGTGGGGAACAAGTCAGCATTTAGTATCAATTTCATCTTCAGAGTTCTGGATTTCATAAGATACATCTTCTGGAGTCTTTCTGATTCATCTCCTGGTGCTATATCAACAATCATTTGTATGAGAATACCAGTCAATACCCATGTCCTGCTGGAATGTCAGGGTTTACAATATGGGCCATATGCACGATAAGTGCTTTGTAGTAAGCTCTTGACAAGGTGGAAGAAGACTGATGTCGGTTCCTTCATAGTCTTTGATTGTTTTAGTATGGGGTCTTAACTTCTATTTCAATTGGTTTATCTGGTTTTGCTGGTGTAAGACATTGTGGCTTAACATAAATGTTTTTTATATTAATCAGTCTTCTTTTGTTTGTCCAGCAGTCCAGCACTACACTTTGCTGTATTCTGTGCTTATCCTAACACATTGATAGAAGGAATAAATAAATGAAATGAAAGATATGTAATCTTTAAAATGCACATGAGAGATGGATTGAAAATGTGTTTATTCCTTGTGACAATTTTACTCTCTGGGCCCAGATGGGCCCTAAGGAAATATACTAAATTTCATGGATTCTCTGATGGGTTGTTTTGTTTCTGGAGCTGGCAGAAAATACATGTTTTTCAAGATACTTCTAACAGCAGAGTGATTATGTGATAATTAAATCCAAAATTCTATAAACGAACCTGATAGGAGAAGAAGAGGGTGGTGGCATGTCATCACCTTATCAAATGTAGAAAAACATGAGTCCCTTAAGATTAGAATGAGTTCATGAATAAGGATGCAAATAAGAAGCAACTAATTTTACTAAATTGAATGATAAAGACCAGAATATGCCTAGAAAAAATCTACTGTGTAGCAGGTGGGAAATGCCATATTCTTTCTAGTGATCATCATGATAAACCATGACATTTTATTTCTTCCCAGCCCTTAAGGTGAGACAGAAAGATGCTATGAGTATTAGAATGTGTAGTGATGACAATACAATAACAACTATAGATGAGCCTTCTCATAGTCTGATCATTTTCGTTCTTTTGTTTTATTGCATGATATTGATATATCAACAATCTCTTAAGAGAAAATACCACTAAACACTTGCAGATTTGAGAGTCATTCAGCTGGGACACAATATGGTGCTCCATCTTTTTAAAATGTGCTATCCTGCCCCTTCAAAGCATGGCACTTACTTAATCTAGCGAAGGTATGAAGGCTGCATATAATATGCCAGGCCCTAGATGGGAGTAGTAACAGAATAATTGGGAGGGAGAGGTCTGTTACCACTTCCCCACCCTCACCCCACGTAAAAACTATACTACTAAACGTATTTATGAGAAATGTTTTATGTAAATTATATTCGAACATGACTGTATTCACGCCTTCTATGAACTGTGAACAAAGTCAATATTTTACCCAGGGTATATTCGTCAACACTACCCTTGGTAATTCGAGTAATATGTGACATCAAGAGGGCTGTAGTAATGGCAGACCATAAGTTGAATATTCGAAAAATTTTGGGGAGTTTTCATGTTTGAATTGTAATATATACCTCAGAGCAGGCGTGATATTGACAATGACCCCTTAGGGCTAGGTAAAAACGCTTTCGAACCCCTCACTCCCTTGCCAAGCCATGTGGAGTATATTTGTCAATATAACACCTGCTCTTCAGTCTATATTTCTTAAATAATAGAAGTATAGATGACAGTGATCTTCCAAGCATAAGCAAGTGGGTGCAGCACCCACCTTAGATTTTGAAAATATGTTTGCACCCACCTGAAAATCCATATGCACCCACATGAAAGTGAGAAAATCATGAAAAATTGGCATATTTTGACCAATTTTGGTCTGAATTGTGAAAATGAAAATTTTGTACCCACCTGAGAAGAAATCCTGGGGAGATCACTGGATGATCTTAAAACTCAAGTTGACCTCTGTTTGTAGAGAATGAACCATATACTGTTGTTGGGGTGATTCCCACTTTTGATCACTTATGTAATTGTTTGGTCTTGGACACTAACCTATTATGTTTATTGTAATATCCTATATATTGAGATGAATATGAAGAAGACCTAGAAGATGTACATGTTCCTTAGTAAATCCAGAACGAAGTATTATGAGATTTATACTTGAAGCTGATTAGCGCTGCCCCCTTCCAGTTTCTATTACTAGCCCACCCCCCCTCTCTCAACCTGCCTCTCATGCAATAACTATAAAACTCAGGTGTCACTGGTCAGTATCAAGCGATGGTATATGCCATATAAGCCTGGTTTAGTTCAAATATCAAAGAATTACATCAACCATAAAGTAGCTCAAGTCATTGAAAACTATAAATATCTTCTCAACTGACACCAGTGAGATATACATTATTTACCTGAAATGGTTGATATTAAGTATATAATCAAAGAAGTATAAATGATAAATATATATATATATATCTCGAAAAGTCTACTTAAACCCTGTATTTATAGAGAATGGTAATCATCTACTATTATGAAGGTGATGCTGCCTACTTTTGATCACTTATGTAATGGTATGGTCTTTGACACCAATCATGTAAAATGTAGTACCTACATATTGAAATGAAAATGAAGAAAACCCAGAAGATGTAACCTTTGAAAATCCAGAACTATATAAATGAGAATTATACTAAGGCTGATTAGCTCTGCCCCATCCAAATTCTGTTACTACCACCCCCCCCCCCCCCCCCCCCCCGCTTCCCATGCAACAACTTTTGCACTTAGATGTACTAGTACACTATATTTACCAAAAATGCATGATATTAAGTATATTCAAAGAACTTCAATATAAATGTATCTCAAAAGTAAAGTTAAACTCTGTCTTTTCAGAGAATGGTATTCATTTACTAATATGGGGGCGACGCCCACTTTTGATCACTTATGTAGTAGTATGGTCTTTGACACTTACCAATTATATAAATTGCAACATCCTTTATGCTTAAACAAATGCTTGAACTTCCCTGGCAATTTTGGGTGTGCTAAAATATTCTTATATCTGTTGATTTGAAAAAAAATCCACATTCTATATTATGTACCTGTACAGGTTTTGCCAAAATTAAGGATTTTTCAATGAAAATTGTGGTTTCCATGGCAACCATGAGTGACAGGTGATTGAAACTTAACATACTACCTCAGCATGATCCAATCAACTCCCCATAAAATTATTATGATGATTGAAGACCAACTGAATGATTTATTCTATGATGATAAAGTAGCCCCTGTAATTTTCCATTTTAGGGTCGAAAACGCCAATTTGACAACTTTCGCCCCGGATACGGCGCGTCAGACAAACATTTTCTGAAGTATCACATAAAAATACATAAGAAACAAGTAATTTCAATTTGTTCACGAACTAATACATTTTTGGGTGCTAGCTTACTACCTAAAATATTCAACATGTCAATACTTGTGGGCAGAGAGTTTGTTGCAAATAAGCTACAATGAAGATGCTGGATTGTTGTTTATTGTTTAGTTACCCTGGTATCAATTAACACCATGGTGATGGTTTAGATCAGATTATTTGTCAATCATTAAACAAAACAAATGTTTAATATGAAGTTTTTCTCATCTTAGCTCACTATTTTATGTCAGAAACTTCAAATGCTCTATTATTATTTAGCACACACAGTCATGTACATGTTTATATTAGCGACTATTTCTTGTTTATTGAATACAAAGTGTTAAATATGTTGTTTCCATGAGCAACAATTTTGATATCATCATAGGTATCTATGATTATCAGATCGCATGTTAGTGAAATGCAAATCTATATATGTACTTACAATATTTGTATGTATGAATAAAGGATACAATATGACGTATGTTATGTTTTTCAGGAGACTAATGTTCTAGGCTTTAAGGGTCCACGCAAAATGACAGTCATTATTCCTGGGATGAATCTGGATCATGAACGAGTTGATCTTCGGCCTAAAAATGTAAGTTGAAGTGTGTCATTGTTCAATAAGATGTGTACATAGTGAACGCTTGTACACAGTGAACACCTATAGACCCACAAAAAGTGTTCCTTGTCTGTAGGTGTATTTCATACAGAGTTTTGTCCAAGAAATGATGTTTACAATTCCATTAGATCATTTTTTCCTCGAGAAAGGCATCCACTAAGACCTGTCGGTATAAGATCTCTGTAATCAGGTGTCGCTGGTATGATTTCCCTAACCTTTATGTCTGGGAGTTCAATGATAAACAATTGAAACTTTCTTGGTTCAAGTTTCATCTCATAGGCAGTCAATTTTCCCACTGATTCATTCATTACCTAAAGCGTCATCAAATACATCTTATGTTTCAGGACCATGATGGGCTAATAGAGCGCTGGAAGCACAAGAACATGGAGAATCTACTGGAGCTACATAACAAAACACCTGTTTGGAATGATGGTAAGTAGATTTGATAATACAGTGGGGTGTAAGCTCATCTTTCAGAAGAAGGGGTCCTGGGTTCAATCCAAGTTCCCAGCGCTTTTTGTGGATGAGTGTGCTTTTCTTAATACACTGAGTGCTACCAACTTGATAATAGGCCAGCTCTCAGGCTGGAACTTTCAATGGTCCTCACTAAGTCTAAGACACCATTTCTATACTGAGAAATGAGAACTGCTCTGAAGTGAATACATTTGTAAAATTATTTGATTTAAACCAAGGAGGTATTGCTCACCCTTATACTGTAGGTGGTAAACAAAATACAAGACAACAAAGATGTTGTTTCGGGTTAGGTCAAAACTAGGGGTCACAGAATATGAGAGATTCAATATTGATACATATCTGCAATATTGACCTCACAATACAATATGATTTGATATGATACATGATTCAACATGACTTAGGCCTAAAATAGAATTCTAAACTTTATTCAAATTTGTAAATCATAGAAACATCTAACAGAATAGACTAGAAAGGTGATACCTAGAGTAGTAACATAAATGGGATGGCCAAAATGGCTCCAAACTTTTCTTTGTTTTTTTCTTTTATATTATATGTCATAATCAAAACCGGTTCAACTGATATTCACCCCTACTTTCAATACATTTTTTGGACTTAAATTGCTTGAGCGCTCACAGTGCCATTCTTTAAAACACTGTCAATAAGGGGCTTAGCCATAAGTTTCATTCAATGATACAATATGATAATTAACATTACTTAGGAGGGGCAAAAAGTGAGAAAATGTCAAATGTTATGTGAGCAATAAAATATTACTTTGTTGTTCTTCAACCTTAGAAAAAAGGAGATAAAGGAATTGATATTTTGACACAACCCAAGAAATTTATTATTTTTTACCTTAACCATTTCACCCTTTTAGCAAAATCACAATTGCAAATATAAAAGATATTTCTTTATGCAAAAACCAGTGTCAGATAATGGAATATGTATACTCACCACAGAAAATGATTTAGGACATTTGGTGCGGATATCTCAACCTCTTTCTAGGAAAAGAATGTAAAACTGTTATTATTACCACCTTGCCGGGGCCTGTTCTAGGGGTATTAGTGCTCGTTTAGAAGGCATTTATTTTACAATATCGACCTGAGCATTATATGATGTCATAGTGGTGGGCCATGGTGGCGGGCCAATATTGCATTAATGCCCAGCAATTTTCCCCGGAAAATTAGATATCGTTCAGTTGCGTAAGATTTTCTTGCTATTTCAGCCCTGGGCATCAACGGTGGTAATAATACTAATAACGTCATTTCTGCTCCTTCGACCCTCTGTCCAATATTTCACTATATAGCCCTTCGAAATGACATTATTGTACTATTCCTGTGTATATTTTAATGTGTATTATACAGTCATGGTTTCATCTTAGGAGCAAATGGGGATGACAAGTGTGTAATTAAGGCATGATTAGCATATGGATTGCCTTCTATGTTTTTAAGATATTCCCCCGTGGGAGGAGCTTTACTTACATCTCTATGAATTTTGATGATTTATTTTGGGTGCTTTATCCAACTGAGGCTCGAAAATAATCCTTCACACATTCATTTGGAATTCAGGAAGTGGTGACATATTGTAATGGTCTCCAACTTTTTTTGTGATGGTGTCCGGAGTTCGGCGTTTGGTGTCTGTAACAAATGGCAGGTGGTTACATTTTGCATGTTTGGCCTGGTTTTAATAATTGTTGAGAAAATTCCTAAAATGATACATTCAAACATTGCTCTATTTACTTAAAGCTACAGCAAATAAGGCGTGGGAAATATTTGAAGAAATCCGTCAAAAACTCATGCCATCATGTTCTTTAGTGGGTCAACTTTGATATCTGAAAATCACAAATTTCTAAAAATTGAAGAATTATTCTTAAATATACCAATATACCATCTGACATATAATTGCATTTTCTGAATTTCTCAATTGTATTTTTTTTCCAGATACCCAGTCTTATGTTCTGAATTTCCATGGACGAGTAACACAGGCATCAGTAAAGAATTTTCAAATCGTGCATGATAATGATGGTAAGTAAAAGAGAAACGTCATTCGTCATGTGATAAAATACCTATTTCTAGTGATACAAACATGTTCCAATTTTATATTCTAAGTGAAAGGTGGCTAATAGCCAAAAGTACATCTTAGGGAACATTGTATAGAAAACATATTGGAAAAGGGACTGATCACATATCTGCCAGAGTCAGAATTATTTCGATGTCAAATAATTCAGTGAAAATATACCGCTGCATCTACTAAAAGATGTAAGAACATGTAAGAAGGCTGAAAAAATAAGAAATGATATATTGTAAAGCAAACCATTCTTATCAATTTACGAATAAAATCTTTACCACAAATTATTTGCTTTCCAGTTGACTACATTGTTATGCAGTTTGGCAGAGTAGCAGAAGATGTTTTCACAATGGACTACAATTATCCCATGTGTGCCCTCCAGGCCTTTGGTATCGCTCTCAGTAGCTTTGATAGCAAACTGGCCTGCGAATAGACTAAGACCCCTTTGCAGTTGGATAATAAACTCTCACAGAGAGCTTCATTGTAACTTATGTTTGAAACCTGAGTCATTTTATACAGATATTTGTGTATGCATGTGGCAGTTATGGTATTATATAGCCAGACCTCTTTAATCTGAATGCCATTGGGACCAGCCAATTGTTTTAGATGTATATGCGATTCACAAAGGAGTTTATAGGAGGACACGTTATGGAACTGAAAATGTGTTCATTTTGAAAGGTGTTCAGATTGGAGAGGTGTTTGAATGGTATAAGATTTACAGTATTTAAAGAATATGGTATATTATGTTATCATTAAATGTGAAAATGATTGCATTTGGTTAACAAGAAAATAGTTAATTTGAGGTTTTCTGTGTGGGCTTGTTACTGGACAGATACTTCTGAAGTAATGCAGATTTATTCTTAAAAAGTTTTGCTTTAAATTGAGTCTGTGATTTAAAAGTCTGATTTTTGGTTCACTATATTCTAGTCTCAAGCCATTGTGATCTTTTGGGATCGTGAGCCATTGGAATGGGTCCAAAGACTCGATACAAGAGTATGGGATGAATATGGATTAAGCTGGTTTTGAGCTTAAGTTATTTATCAAGATATATTCTTTGAATTATGTACAGGCTCATATGCTCACGTGGCTCAGGAGAATCCGAACAAAGTTTAAAGACAAGATGAATCTGCATTAATTCAGAGGTGGTTAAGTCATATGTAAATTGTACATAAGAAATGGATATATTTAATAGATTATATATTGTGTGCTGTGTGTCAAAACTCAATGATTTATGACTAGGATTAATGGAATGTAAAAAGATAATTTTCAACTTGTATGCTATCCGTAGCAGATTCAGCATTGTATATTACATTTTTTATTTTACTCTAACTTTATCCCATCATCTTTTAACTGTAACAGGGTGTATGTTTGTATTTACACCAGAAAATTTGGTAATCAGTTCTTTTGCATATCATTATACAAATCTTCAATCATCATGCCTTTCACAATTGTAATTTTGCATTTGTTCGTAGCGCCATCTTTCTTATCTATGTAGATGTTACTGCGAATTAATGAAGTAAATTTCTACCCTTTATCCCCATAATTACCCTTAATACCCATAATTGCCCGTAATTCCCATAATAATCACTCTCTGATTATGGAAGATTATTTTACAATTTTAATGTTGGGGATCTTAGTGCTGTCAGCTTTCATGGCCTTTTATGGGAGTTTTAATTTGAACTGAGTATAGGAAAAAATACTGGATCAAGAAATCCATGTATTTCAATAATCAAGAGTTTATGAATTCAAACTTTTGCAAAGAGTAATTGTTACTGCTAGTGAATTGAGTGGTATCATAAGGGAAAAAGCCCTTAGTATTGTGACTAGAAATGTAGTAGCCTCGAAATTTTCCAAATTAGCAATAATGCAAAATAGCTTAATGCTTTATTTTTTGTCTGGATGCAAAAGATTGTGAAATCCAAATATCGATAATGTACTGTATAAATTTTGGAATCTTTTTTTGGTGCCAATGTGATAATGCACATGCATAAATTATTTGACTGAATTTTGATATCATGATGTATAATTTCCCAAAGTGCATCAAACAAATTGGAATTTGTATATTATACATGCATTTTGTATAATGAATATCTTGGTGTCGCAAGGGGAGACAATAATAGCCTTGTGTTCACCTAACTACTTTAATTTTATTAACATAAAACTTGAAATTTGAAGAACTGTAGCATGAAAATTGTTCATTTTGTGAAAATCCAGTTGCACATGAAATTGTCTCGTTTTACAAGATTGCCATAGACAGAACATTCCAGACAGGACAAGATGGTCATGTGATCAAATTCATGGAAATATCATATGACCATATTTGGAGTTCATTTATTATTGATTGTTGTGAATTATCAAACAATTAGATAATATTGATTTATGTTAAATTGTGAGATTATTTTATGTTTGTTATGAGTGTAAATTTTGTCAATGAGTTGTCTTTTTTAACAAAATTGTGAGAATGTGTAACACTTTAGCTTTGTGGTTTTGAAGACAATATATTACCATAGCAACTGTGGACCTTGTTAGAAAACACAATCTAAAATCTGTAAGCTTTTACATTTGGTTTTGCCACAGGTTCATTTTCAGGTTCGTTATCTGTATGCTATGAATGTTGTGTGACATCTGAAGATTTTCTCATATCCTCGGGTAAATTCATTAAAATCTGTGATTGAGAGCAATTGAGAGGCGACTAATATCATTGTCATTTACAACTTGTGGATAGAATTATTCAGTTGCTTTAATTTAATTCTATGAAAAAGTGGTCTACTGTCATATGCACGCCTAGTATTGTGGGACAATATTTCAACAATCCATGTGCAATCAATAAATAGAAATCCAAAGTTTCCTTGATTGAGAATTTCGCCTTCTCAGGGATATAAATGTTTGCTTTTACAAGTGTACAGGTATAAATGAATGTTTTAACTCAAACTTTCTGGATAAGTCATTTTTGCATTAAGAACCCTGTCCCTCCATAGAGGCTATCTTTGGAGAACACGTTGACCAGAACTTGTTGAGACTGATTTTTCGCACTTTAATACACTTAAACTTTTACTTCGCTTCACCATCAATACCTTCCCACTCATTCATATACTTTCTCCACATGATATGTATTTGATAGATCATTTTTCACATTGATTATGATTAGGTAGTTATCTCAATTAGTGATATTACTTCCACATTACACTGTTCAACTATCTGAGGGGGTTAATTGTCTGTGTTACCTGCATGGATCAAAATTTTAGGTTTCGTAACTTGCTCAGAGGTTTCTATCTCCGATCATTAGTTTATCATTTGCAAGGATTCTAATGGAGATTGTTATTTGATGTTCTTCAAGCAAGCTTGTCCTAACATCCTGTTAATTTTAAGCATTGAAAAACTCATAAATATCTCATTTGCAATTGTGAAAACCTTTTGAGGTAATGGTAATTTTCTAGCATGGCGTTTCCTCTGGTGTTATGCATTTCTATTATCATTTCGGAAGTGCAGTTATGTGATTGAGGGTCAGGTTTCTATTGAGGCTTGTTTTTCTAATGCAATAGTCATTATAGATATCATCACAATAATTAATTAGACAATACCCGTATCTGGTACATGGTATACTAATACTATTGTCTCTTGACAAGGGAAATCTCTGTTGAAACATTCTAAAATAGAGCTTTCTCATTACCACCTTTCTCCATGTAAGGCATGTACATTTCCATTTGCCCATATAAGGAGTTGATTTATGACTGGTTCCGTTCAGAAGGAGTTAAAACTTAACAATATTCAGAAAATTCGAAATTTCAACATTCAAAATTATTTCAAGCTAAGAAATATTACTTGGTTTTATACAAATAAAATAATTCCAATTATATCAGTGATGTGTACTTAAAATATTACACTGGGTGTTTATGTTAACAGGGGTTAAGTTGCGGTGATTTATTATCCACATTTAGCCAGAGGACGCTATACTGTCATGTGTATACATACTCATGAAATCAAATGTTGTATTCCATTTGAGTTAAGTATTTAATCATGATATTTAAATAGCCTGGATGTGCATGATTGTCTTAGCATTTTTAATTGAAATTAACAGTGAAATTCACTCTCTGCATTAAATTCAGTTGGTTAGTTCATGTTTGAGAAATTGATGTAATGAATTAGTATATTTGATACACGAGTGTGACACTTGTTGTAACAAGACTTATTTGTATGCAAGCATTTGTTTAGAATATCATTTCACATTGTTACCTGGTATAATGTTGTCTCAAATAACATGTTAAAATCATGTAAATTACAATATGAGGAAAATCAAACATGGATTTGGATCTGCCAAATAGTGAACATTAAAGTTGAAGTCTCAATAACATTTGCAAGATTCATGAAGAATTTTGAATTTCTAAAAGTCCCAACATTTTCAGAAATAGCTGCATTTTGGATTGTAACTGTTGTAGCTTTAATCAGTTCCAAAGCGGTCAAATGAAATCATAAATAGAAAATGTCAATCTAGCTATTGTATTGGCAACTTGCAATGTTTATCAAGATAGGCAACTTACAAATAAGGCAACTTACAATATGAACATGAAATGATTTGAAAACATATTTAGTTTTATGTCCAAAAACAGTATCAATGCTCATAGTGCCCCAAACAAAAAGTTGTATGTTTGGGCACTAGCTGTAGATTATTTTATTTAACAGTTTTTTAACGTGTATGTAATGCAAACTAACCTGACTCTATTAGAAATCTCTAGAAATCACTTTTTTCTTATATTCATACTACTATTGAATATTTAGTAGCATTATTGTGAAGCTTAAAAGTAGCAGGTCAGCTCTGTAATATATTTTATTATGTTATTTGTAATATCTGAGTTGGTTAACGTTAAAGGCTACCTTGGATATTTAAATTTTTAGCCAAGTATATTTGATACTTTGTACCCATTGCATCAAATATCTTGTTTAGGTATTTTTGTGACTGAAGACCAATGCTTGTATTATGTGTTTTAAGCAATTTAGGTCATTTGAAATGCTGAAATTTTACCATATAAGCAGAAATTGCCAAGTCATTATGTTCTAATTGGTACCATAATTATTCATTTATGGCACCAACAAGATTTGGAAGCTTATGAAAATTCCACCATTTTACCAAGCAAAAAGCATTTAAAACTAGCCAACTTTGCATCGTTTCATAAAAATTCATTCATGAGGTACATTTCCGAGCTGATCCTGCATAGTTTCTGACATCTCATTTAGTGAAACCGTCCAATTGTATCACGAGTTTAAACTCAAGAATGTCATTTTAGACAAGTTTACAATAATTGTATTTATTCTTAACAGTACTGTTATTCAATGACCAATCTGTGGAAATAGAGTGGCTATACCAGTCTGTACAAATGTAAGCTAATCAATCCACTTCAATTGTTCGCCACATACATTTTGTCTTGCACATAATCTCATGGGGCAATACAATCTCATTGGTCAATTTTTCAACAATATCACCCTTGGTATACGCAGCTAACGAAAATTGACCGGCACGGGTCAAAAGCTGGACCGGCACGGGTTAACGGTTTTATTTGAATTTAAAATAGCCATAACTTGCTCAATAATGACTTCCTCGTGTCTAATTTGAAATATATGGTGCCTCCCGATGCTTTTAAGTACCCCAATTTTTTACAGATTTTTAAACGGACCAAAACTCTCTAAATGCGCATTTATGCTCTTTTCTCTCGAGAACGGCTGTCTCATTTTCACGATAACTTTTATTTAGTACTTCTAACATATAAGATCTATTTTTCCCCATCAAGGTATGATGTAAATGACATGCTATTTACATCTTGTGAGTTTCAATGACGCGCGTTTGATTTTATAAAAAATGCCAAACTTTGTGACAAAGAATTTCATCCTGCTTGCAGTGAGAAGACGGACCGGTTCGGGGCAATCTGCTTGCAGAGAGAAGACGGACCGGTTCGGGGCAATAGCTGATGAAATTCTTTGTCACAAAGTTTGGCATTTTTTATAAAATCAAACGCGCGTCATTGAAACTCACAATATGTAAATAGCATGTCATTTACATCATACCTTGATGGGGAAAAATAGATCTTATATGTTGGAAGTACTAAATAAAAGTTATCGTGAAAATGAGACAGTCGTTCTCGAGAGAAAAGAGCATAAATGCGCATTTAGAGAGTTTTGGTCCGTTTAAAAATCTGTAAAAAATTGGGGTACTTAAAAGCATCGGGAGGCATCATATATTTCAAATTAGACACGAGGAAGTCAATATTGAGCAAGTTATGGCTGTTTTAAATTCAAATAAAACCGTTAACCCGTGCCGGTCCAGCTTTTGACCCGTGCCGGTCAATTTTCGTTAGCTGCGTATACCAAGGGTGAATATATGATAATGACAAAAATACATTGTGTAATAAGAGCTTCTGAAATTACTCCACTGTTTAAGCTTGTTTACAGTTTCGAGAAAATCCTTACAATTTCCAAGAAAATCTACCCAAATGAGGGATCAATTTGAACGAGACATAAAACGTAAATGAGGTTTTATTGTCTCTATGAGATGTATATGAATGTATGTGGAAAATGCATGACCAAGCCTGTCATTGATGATTTTGTCCTCTATAGAATAGCACTTGTACCATCATCTACAGACAAAATAAACATGTGTCTCAATATAAAAATAATGTTTTGTGCAATCTTTTTAATACAGTATTGTAAAGGGATGTAAAATGTCCATGTAGGCTATTGCTGGACAAATGGCTGAAATGAATGGTAGCCAATCACAAAGATGCCAATGACCTGCTGTCCTCAAATGAATAAAGTGTTGCCCAATTTAAGAATGTAGTAGTAGTCCGGACATGGTTACAGATGCATGTCACACATTTTCCAAAAGATCTGCACTATGCCATCAGTTGGAGAAAATTCAAAGTGATCAATATGTGCAAAAGCTCCTTATAAATGTGGTGACCTCAGAGAATTTAATGCATCTAGTTTTTCTCAAATAAAGTATAAGCCTTATTGGAATTTTAAGAAAATAGACATGAAAAGGAATGACATTTTACATCACCTGGAGTTAAGGTTTTTACAATCATTGTTAAAGGATTAGTTATTTTATCACTATTTTGGTTCCGATTTCTGTCAGTTGAATGCGCTATCATTGCCGTTTTAAATGAGCAAATGCATTGTAAGGTGCTATGATGAATGGATTACCCTTGAGTGGAAGGTAACCAAAATATTCTACAAACTGTCTAATGCATTTAGTCCTCTGATCAGCATGGTCTGGACGGATTGATAGACTTTTATGGGTGCTGAATACAGATTGGACCCCATGGGGTGTTTCTACCAGCACTCCACTAAAAGAGCCTGTATGGTTTGCAATGAGAAAATTCATAAGTATGTCTTCGCAATTTGTGTACTTATCCACAATGTCTAGTAATTCGGGAGGGGCATTTTGGTACATTTTCAAGTATTCTCTGTGTAGGAATCCAACATTAAGCACCATGCTGTAGTTTTTTGCAGGATTCCATTGGTATTGATAGCTGGCGCTTACACCTCTGCCATGGAATCCCACAATGCAATAGGGCATCGTTTGCCATGCTTGTAGCGCCATCTGCACATAATCATCTTCAACTATGCAATCATCATTCATCATTAACACAGCTGAAATAGAAGATAAATCATCAAATCAATATGCTTGGTTACATTGAAACTTGATTATTCAATGAGTTTTTATTCAATTCATATTCAACTTCTTGAGTTACATTTATGAATTATGGCAAATGTAAAGTGGCATTTTATTATCCATGTTCTCACTTTTTTGACAACGAGAAAATAAGCATAACAAGGAATAATCCTGAGCCAAAAAATATTCTAAATTTGAAGCAATTTTTTGTTTAGCCTGCTCGCTAGATCTAATTCTCTATCTTTACTTACCTTCTGTAAGGATATGAGAAAACACTCTGAAGCGATTATTCAATGAATTTGTGTTTTGTGGGAGAAAAGCAATATCCAAATGTGGGGAAGCGGTCCTTATTGATTCATCATCCGGTATCTTTACACCAGGATTGTTCCATACTACAAGAACTTTCTTGATATTCCTCACGTGGTCCCAATGTTTTAAACCGTTTAGAAGCGTATCTGTTCTGTTGTGATTGAGTATAACGAGCGTAAATCCATCTGGGATTTGTGGGGATGATTCGCACAATGAATCGACTCGACTGCCCGGGATACTATCGTCTTTTTCGAGAAATGTTCGTACTTTTATGGAGGATTTCTCTTTCCACTTTGTACCTTTGTATGATATTAGAGAAAACAAAGCAACATTATACACAACAAAGCTTAGAACTATTTGTGAAAAAGTACAAGAGTGCCGTTTTGTTGTCCATCTTGAATAACTAATCATCTTTAACTAACATTAGCTTCATATTTTAGCTTAGTGAAGACTGAGACTTGTTAACGGCTATTATAAGCAGTATACCCATTGAGAACAGCCCAAAAACGGACGACGCCTACTTTGAATCGTATTAATTGAACACATTAGTTTTGCACCACATTTTGACTATCGCGTCTTGGAGTCACCAATGGCGTGAATTGAGGGATTGTAATGCCAATGTTTCAGGGTGTTCATGGAAGTATGAGAAGATCCTTTAAGAAGTACTTTATAGTAAATGCCCTGGGGTCGCCATTCATCACATTTAAAAAGGCCAGGTGACAATACTTCCAAGTTGCAAATAGTTTGTTGCCAGTTTCACTACCAGATGGCTAATTTGGCTCAGATAACATGGCAGATAGAGAAAAGGGGTACCGGTCCTCTAAATTGCCATGGCATATCTTGAAAAAAGTTCTAAACTTTGATATTCATTATATTTAAGAGGTTCATATAACCTCTTTGAGTTTGAAAATTACACAATTAAAAATATGTCCAGTAAAACAAAATATTATCTGTCCAAATACATCAAAGATATTTTATTTTTTTGTACTTCCACCATGGGCTCTATGCGTAACGTAGGGGAATCCCGGATGAACCTATTGTTTTTATGTCAGCATTAGAGATGATAGCATTTTGTTATAGGCACCAGTAATGTATAGACTAAAACATTTTGAAATATAAATAAACATCATTTTTATCATCAGAATTCTCAAAGAGAAAATAATTTTCTTTCCAGTTCGAATCCTACAAAAGTTGTACATCAAGTAAGATGTGTGGGGTTCGGACACAGGCACAAGATATGCCCTTGGCCATTTCAAACGAATCATAATTACGTACAAGCATCTATTTTGCACCCTGAATTTTCTTTTTTAATGGGAGTCATGTAATCTTATGTAACTCTATGTAATTTCTTTTGTTATTTTATCTTATGTAACATTACGTGTGATTATACAATATACTTTCTACAGCTCCAAACACTTATTTGTTGTTTCATTTATTTAAAATGGGAGTCAAACTATTCTAAGGCACACACTGTCCTCATGACAACATTTTGTGATAATTTTATCATCTCGCAAACACTTGCTAGTTCAATTTGTGCTTTCGAAAAAACGCATCTCAAAGTTTCACTTGATGGTTTTAACTTTTAATACAACTAAAATCAAAATGTTACACACACACGTCCTGTACTTTTAAATTGATATTAGGGTACTGTAACCCAGTTGCAGATATCTAGGGTGAAGAATCCATTACATTACTGGAAATAATGATGTCCAATCCAATGTAGCAGACTGTCTCATCCTTCTTCTCGTACCGGAGGCATAGCAGGGTAGTTTAGCGCACGTCTATAAAAACACGAACAATGAGGCTACTATAGTTTGTGCAATATAAATGAAGAAACCGCCCTAAATAAATGATATCCCGAAACCTTACACACGGCTGTATATCACGGTGACCAAGAGTTAACAGTGCAAATCGGCCCGGTCGTGTTTTTTTTAACTCTTTAGTCGTGTTTTGTAAGAACATGGGATGCGACATTCGATAGAATGGAGCAAAATGGTAAGAATATTCTATATTTTACTAACTTACATATCTTGACTTCTACCTAAGATGTTCTTCTTCATACCAACGAATCTATTTTGGGGATAAATCCATCATACTTCATATCAATCGCAATTATATACCAAAAGTGCCAGAAACATGTACTTAATTAGCATTTAGTGTTATTTAATCAAGTTTAAACAGACAACCCATTCAACAACGTGGAATAATATTCACTACTCTAAAGATCGTGTAAATATTTTAACTGTATTTATCTTAAAATTGCCATAAATGACCGTAAATGTAGAAAGTGGAGTTAACTATGGAGAAGGGACAATATAACGTCATGGACGTGTCTTATAATAAGCATGTTAACGTTTTGGAATTGTAAAGATAACGTTTTAGACGTGATAAAATTAACGACTTTGAATTGTCTTGTAATATTGTTCACCATGTTTTGTTGCTTAATAATTTGTCTGTTCTTCTGAAAATAATCGTATTAGTACTAAACACGGGAATATACATTATGTGTCACCCGTTTATTGTTGTAATTTGTAGTCAAGATATGAATAAATAAAAAAGACAGATATATGATTTAACAAGATCAACAGATGTTGTAATTTAATTCGCTAGAAAACTATGTTACACTACAGTTCATAGATCACTCATAGAACGATAGCAGCATATGTAGCGTTTTTTACCTATTGCAATTTGAAAATTAAAATTGAAATTGTATTGCATTGTGTGAGGCGAATTAGGGAATAACATCGAATCAAATTGTTAAAAATCCTGAGGCAAACCTAATAGATATTGAGCATACGATTTTAATAACGGTGGAGTTATTCCTTACATTAGGTGATCATATATATGCATTTACATGTAGTGCATCACAAACTAAACATTTCCTCTCATTTTAAATAAATTTATTTACGTTCATGACAGGGAAAAGTGAGGTTAAGGCCAATAGGGACGTTTTAAAACGTATTTTAGGCAAATTCAAAAATAGCAACGAGCCATTTAATGAGCGACAGGGCAATTAAAAAAATAATATGACTGGTCAAATTTTCAAAATGACGAGCGACGAGGCAAAGCTCGCTTGCATTAACCATGCGTGTCTGATTCTAACCATTTTGATTTAAGTATCAAATTCGGTAGTGATCCCATAGATCAATCTTGACATATTATGTCGTACATTTGATTATTGTTAATCATTTATAATTAAGATAGTGTCACTCAGACAACAACTTCTTCCACATTGTGATCATTTTTTGGGAAATACATAATGTTAATTGTGCTGTTTCCCACTTCCAAATCGTTAAACCTCAATGTCTCTACACGTCTAGAACGTTTCACTAACAGGTCAACGTCATTAACCGCAATCTTTTCAACACGTCTAAAGAGTTTAATCTAAAAAATATTATTCGGTCAATTGCTACTTATTTAAGCTCTTCTAACTTTTGATTTTCGCACATATTGTGAATGCTTTCCTTATGAATCGATGTATTCATTGAATACAAGTCAGGCAAGTGATTTTCAGGCAAAAATATGTATAACACTGACAGAATTGCTCATTTCCCGATATAACAAGACTATAGCATACGATTCGTGCAAATAACACGTTTACGAATACCTGAAGTTAAGATATATAGTATGGAAAGCAATATAAATTACTTACTTTTACATAAAGTCAAGTGACAGCAATTTCATGACCAAATTTATCAACCTACCTCTCAAATTTTCAACAAAACACGACTAAAGAGTTTAAAAAAACACGACCGGGCCGATTTGCACTGTTAACTCTTGGTCACCGTGTATATATTGTCTCCCCATCACATACCAATTATCATTAGACATATATCATCGTGGTTTTTGTCTCATTTACGCCTGGGGAAATGAATAAAGATTTCCAAACACATCTCAACAAAACATACTATTCTCACTCTGGCTGTAAAATAGAATAAGATGACATGATCTATTAAGCTCGGATGTACTCATGCAGCGTCGATAACAGTAAAATAAGGAGTATGTCTTTTAAGAAAAGATGTAATAGAAATCTAATACCCCGGTATCTATTTACATGTTGTTCCTAATGGGTTAAAATTCTGAAAGATGAATGTTTTTCGCAATAGGTGAAACAACGACCATTTTGAATGGGAATGACTTTATAGTTGAGTCACTTCTTTGTTTTCCAATGTGAGAGTTGTCAAGGGGTTAGTTAAATTTTGTCTAGAGGGAATACGTTGTCCAGGGGATGGGTCACCAATGGGTAAGTTGTCTATTGGGGATAAGTTGTCCCAGGGATGGGTTTTCATTTGATGAGTTGCCCAGGAGTGACTTGCCTAAAGGGTGAGTTGTCCAGGGGTGAGTTGTCTTTGGGGAGAGTTGTCTAGGATTGTGTTGTTAGGGGATGAGTTGTCCAGGGATCAGTTGCCAAGGGGAAGAGTCCAGGGATCGGTAGTCGAATGTGTGAGTTGTTCAGGGGTGATCGACTTATCCAGGGGGTTAGTTGTCTCTAAGATAAGAGTAGTTGTCCAGTGGCACCCATTGCGATTTGAATTAAACGTTTATGATGACTTGTTGGTTTCTTAATTATTGTGATGAAGCAAACTGATTAGCAATTAGGAGGAGAATAACGTGATATAATCATATAATTAGGAAAACAAAACATAATCTAATGATACTGGAAATACTTCTGATTACATCCCCTTCCATTAGTTCGACAATAGGATATCTTTTTCAAACAGCGTGTTGAAACCAGCTTGGTACTCGATAAAGGGATTTTTAAAATCCCGATGATTTTTCAATATACCAATTGTTTCTGTTACTATAGTATTCCTATATGGGTCACAAACTATTTTCAATTGAAGAAAAGTGAAACATCAGAACCAGGAATTTCATCAATTAATTTGAAATGCATTTGCAATGCAATATTTACGATATAATACAATACAATACAATACAATACAATACAATACAATTCAATTCTTTCAGTGTCACAAAAATAAAATATTAACTTATATTAACAATGGGTTAGGAGCATCACAAAACACGAATCAGTGAAATCACCTGAAAAGTTGAAGGTAACAAAAAATGCATGAAACACATTTTATTTTTGAATTCCAAAATTGGAAAAATGAGATTTTACCCAAATCTAACTGTATTGATCGTCCCAAAGAAAAGGCTTATTATATGTTTAATGCTGAGGGTAACATGTGTATCACCTTTGCAAAATACCTTTATGAAATAAGTGAAAAGAGATCAACTACATTGTGGGATCCACAGCCTTTACTATCCTTTTGGAATAGTCTCTCAAAAGCGTTAGGTAAAGAGGGCTCTGATACATCAGAATGGATCAACTATATTAACAATATAAATATATACATGTAGGCTAATAGTAGTGGTTGGTATATATCTAATGATCAGTCAATCGCATTACACTAGTTTTGTCATTATATGCCATGTAAAATTTGCATTGTAAGTTATTGTAATTGTATGTATAGTTTTAGTTTTATTTTATCATGTTTATTTGCTGTAAACGTACCCGAAAGGGATTTTTTAGTACAATAAAGCATTGAATAATATATAACTTTAGTTAGAATTTTATCTTATATTCCGAAGAATTAAAGTTTCATTTATGGGATACCCTAAAAACACAAATGCGCCACCTTTTTGCGACGTGTCTGAGCACTGATAGCCCAAGTACCGACCGCGTACAGCCTATATGTGAACAGCGGCATGTCGTTCATTTCCTTTGCGGACAAATAAATCTCGATGTCTAAATATGTGTTTAATTTCACATTAAACCCCAATTAGCATGTCTTCATAATTTAGTGATTTGGGCTAAATTCGTCTCAACATTGGTTCTTAAAGGTTAGTCAACTTTCAGTGTTATAATTGCGTTGGGAAAGATTTAGTAAATTCAGCACACTGCTTACGATAATTCAATTTGGAACCGCATAACCTCTCCATAAGGTGACAATGATTTTGATGCGCGAATACCTAAGCAGAAAACATAATTGCTATAAATCTCTTGGTTTCATTTTAAGAAAATATCATTATAGTCGCCTCCGAAGTCCAGGTCACCCGATACCCCCCCCCCTCCCCATTAAGGGGACGAAGTGGTGGGGGCGGGTGCGTCCGACTTCCTCAAGATGCGAAAATGTGTAAACTGTGTAATATGTGTAAAAACACTAAAAAGTAGTTTCTACAAATGAACAATTGAATACCCAAACATGAGGTGTGAACAATTTTGAATTACATTTACTATCCAACTAAGCGTACTTTAAAAATTAACCCTAAAGTTTCCTAATAATGTTTAAAATATTTGTGTCTAATTATTCCAACTGGTATTTCCATCAAATTCAGACCAAATATATTTAGACCAACGTTTCTTTTAAATTGTAGATGCAGAAATATGTTTATTCGATATCTCACGATTATATTATAACTGCCAAACATGCTCTTTGTAAGTTGACTCAATAATTAAAATATAATTTATTGCTTTATTGCTTCATTGAGGTTTTTTATACAATATGTATGTCTTAAAATATACATGGACGTATAATCACTGCTACCCACCTAATTACACAGACGTATCGTCGGTGTATCATGGCGGAACTGACGATCGGCATTAATATTGCCAATATCACACTGATAGTGGTCGTTCGTCAGTGTAAGAAAAGCGAGGGACTTAATACGTGAATTGTGTCTTTGTTAACATATAAAACCTAAAACCATCGACACATTCTCAAACTAGACTATCTTCCTTAACTTCGAGCCAAATTATTATCCACAACGTGACTTATAAGTAGGTGTAAATCGGGAAATAAAAAAATCTTACCGAAACCTAGTCCCGGAGGAAGTTCCGCCATGATACACCGACGATACGTCTGTGTAATTAGGTGGGTAGCAGTGATAATGGAGCATGTCAATGTTCGGTTAATTCCGAGTCTTTCCTCCGAAGTATGTTGTCACGTTCGGAGAATAAGTGGATTAAAAGACAAATTTGCATTTCTGATATGGGATAAGAGGTGCTCTATATCTTTTTATTAACGCCTTCATTTGTTACGTAGATCTGCAAATTAAATCATCAATACTGTTCATCGATGTCAATTCGTCAGATCAACAACCCAAGAAATAAATGTCCGTCAGTGAAAAAAATCCCTAAGTTCCGATGATTAAAGTATATAATGACGTCTAAATATAACCGTGTTAACCAATGAATGGCAAGCTGGACATACATTCTAATGGGGAAACAATGATGGCGATGGTAGCGTATTGATAATTACTAATGAAAAAGACTCGTAGGTAGTTTTCCAATTTCAATGAACAATACAAAGATGTGGGGGCACTCGGATATATGAGGAGCTTGGTCAAAGGAGACAGTCTCTTATCGAAATACGAGTTGAACAAACAACATTAAAGACTCTAAAGAAAAAAGGACACTAAGAAATGCGAATGACTTGTCATTTCATCAGTACAATAGTAACTTTTCAATTGTATTAATATGCCTATGGCACACACATGAAAATTAGATGGGAACTCATTATAAATAGCTGAAGAAGTAAAAGACGATCACAAAATATAGAATGAAGATATATCTGATATTAGGATCTATGTTTGGTATTTTATATAACATCTACATAACAGGTAGGACATTTAAACTAAATATTTCACTTTTTTTATATTTAAAAGTTACTTGGGGTCCAACGTAAGCATTTGTAGACATTCCATTAATTTTCATCACAATTGTCTTTTCAAGTTTTGATATGCATTATAGAAAAATCATTTTTATCATAGTCATGAAAGTCGGTTCTACATATTAGCATTATGCTATCTTTTATTTTGGGGAAATTCTTTGAGCAGACTTTCACATTTTTGAGCCAAAATGCACGTTTCGAGGAAACAGGAGTATAATCATCATTTACACGGCCCACCCCTACGTAATTCGCCCGTGTTTCCAGCCCTACGGCCCCTGAGTAATTAAACTCACTTTCCAATGCCTTTGACATTATTACCACTTTTATAGGCGGTATTTGTGGAGTTTTGATCTTCGATATACTGTTTATTAGTTGTTTTACGTTGAGTTTATTGTGAATGAATTGCAACTAGCACCATTGACGTGGATTTACTATCTATTTTCTAGGTAATTATTTTCACAATACTTTTCTGTGGTACGTCAACCGCTCATACAAATGCCAATCTGGTTATTTTTAAAGTTCGAGTAAGCTATTGTCAAGTGAAGTATACTCCAGCAAATAGTGTCATTGCGTAGGACTTACAAGTATTCTGATCTTATCACATTTTTTGTTTCTCACACCTAGCAATTAAAACTCGGACCAGATAAAGATTTCTTACGATAAATTACAAGTACTGTTACACTAGATTTTGGCGAAAATGACATTCTAAAAATATTGCCAAGATCTAAGATGCAAAATCGGCAAATAAAACTCACTAAATCCTACACATTTTCTCATATTGAAACTTAAAAAATTAAGAATTTGATTCGTGGTACCCTTTGCATTCGTTCGACTACACTTCTTAAAAGAGAGCTTCGGTATTTTATAACTAGATTCTGCGCGCAGGGTTAATTCGTGGTAATTGGTGACGTAATATTTCAAATCAGTAAACCATTTCCGACAGTTTAATGAAGTGCTTCATATCTTCACCTTATAGGTTGTATTACTGTTTAAGTGTTTTTCACTCCTGATGTTGGTAAATAGAATAGATACTAAAATTCTAAAGCTTTTTGATCTTACCATGAAATGATACACGCACCTCTTAAAACGGTGTTAAACTCACTCAAGCATCACGAACTGTGATGAGACACATTTGAAAATCGTCATACAAACCTTTACCAATGAGATACTTTATGTCATCATCAAAAGTCATCAATTAACAAATAGAAAATAGTTTTGGGAAAACACATTTTGCAGATAAATATTCAAACATAAGTCAATCTACGAAGTTAAATTGGTTTTCAAGAGTTTCCAAGCTTACTGAAGGCAACATACAGTACACACGCACATCCATTCGTCATCTACGAAGTTAAATTGGTTTCCAAGCTTATTGAAGACAACATACAGTACACACGCACATCCATTCGTCATCTACGAAGTTAAATTGGTTTCCAAGCTTATTGAAGGCAACATACAGTACACACGCACATCCATTCGTCATCTACGAAGTTAAATTGGTTTCCAAGCTTATTGAAGGCAACATACAGTACACACGCACATCCATTCGTCATCTACGAAGTTAAATTAGTTTCTAAGGGTTTCCAAGCTTATTGAAGGCAACATACAGTACACACGCACATCCATTCGTCATCTACGAAGTTAAATTGGTTTCCAAGGGTTTCAAAGCTTATTGAAGGCAACATACAGTACAGACGCACATCCAATAGTCTCTGAAACATATTGTTCATTGTTTTCAAATTCAAATTGATGATGTGACGAATTTCAGAAATCCGTACATCGACACTCAATATCTTGTAAAATAAAAAAACAGTCAACTTCTATAATTCGAAACTCTGGCATGATATGGAATATGGGAAATTGATTTAATTATTCAATCACATGATTTGTGTTTTAGCACCGCGTACCTATATTAGTATCTTCACAAAGAGGATTTGCTCCCGGGACGTAGCTAACTATAAATTCTTAATCAACAGTCCAAACGATTCTCGATCACTTCTTGTGTGTTTTGGAATTTTTATTTGGAAATCTTCAAATTCTGAAGTGAAAAAATGTGGCTGTTTGAATTCATATTTTGTAATAACGGCGTCTTCATATACTGCAGAATATCGAGTTGGAACTCTAAGAGCTTATCCTCTCTGTTCCTTCAATCGTATTCATGTGGGATACATTTAGAAATTATTTAAACGTGTTGACACTATTGTCCTCCTGGGAACAGATAGCTCATCGTAAATTTTACTATAAAACAAATCTACATGGCAAACACATATATGAGGAACACATTTTCTGGATTTATAACTTGCAAACAAGCGTAACAATTGTTGAAAATAAACTTAAGACCTATGTCATGTGTGAGACTTTAGTTTAGTTTATAAAGAGACTGTTATTACTGAAAAATAGCATTCGCACAGCAAAAATTATGGCCCACTGTGGGCGAACTATGAGTCTAATACTCTAATGCCCCTTGTTAGAGATAACAAGGTTCAATGCAAGGCGAAAAGTTCATTCTACGCACATTACCCTGAGATAGCTATATAGGGGCATTATATTTTTGATTTCAAGCCGAATCATATTTACGATGCTTATTAAAGGCCCCGGCTAAAGTTTAAAAAAATTGTTTTACCATGTAAATATAATTTATCATGACTTAAAAGATGTATTGGATTTTTTTCAAAAAGTTGACTTTAAAAAAGGTAATTGTTATTTCAATTTTCGTATATTTGAATTTCCTGCCATTTTAGCAGCAAAAGTTCCCATTTATTGATCATCAAATACAACACATTTCACAATAAAACACACTATCGCCTCTTTTACATTGGATAGATCAAGTAAAAGTTAATAAGTAATTTCAACAACTAAATTAAATTTGTAGGCATACATTATGTTTTATAGCAATTATAGTGCCCAAACTATTTTCAAAATTCATCAATTTTTTCTTCTCTAAATCTTTTCTGCTAAACTTTCAAATATTTATTTCTTCACCATTGCTTTAAATGAGAATTAACATTTTTAAATGTCTTTTGTCTGAACCAATTTTCAGCGCTTGGGAGTTCATTTTTCTTTTATTCTTCAAATAATCTTCTTATTTTTTCATCATGAAATAGAATAGGATGCTATTCGTTGGTGTAAATTATTGCTTAATGATAGATACCTTTGACTAAACAAAAATATTATTTGAAATAAGTTCCAAAAAGTCCTTCAAAAATACTTTTTTGAAATTAAAAAAGTTTCACTACAACATAAGCCAAAGTTGTTTAAACGTTATCAGGGGCCTTTAAAAACAGGGGATTGATTTGTCCACCTGGTTAAAAATATGTAACCATTCGTTAAAGACGACCCCGACACCAATAAGAAACGATGGTTATAACACCACTTTTTGTGATTACATTAACTCAGCAGTTTAGTTTTGTCGAGAACATTATTTATCAAACTTTTCATTGGCAATTTATATCGGCAAAGAACTACAGAACAGAATGTTTACAATATTACAATTTATTACACACTGTATTCGAAAACACAAATAAACAAACATGTTTGGCATAGGGAATACATCCACCAGGGTATTAGCTACAGACGAACCCGTTTACGAGGTGAAGACAATATTATACTTATATATACTTATATATACTATAAGGAGAACTTATATATAATTCATGAAGAACTGTATATACTATAATTATATAACCTCATAGGATACCTTATAAAACAATATAAGGAGTAAGTAAAATACAATAAACGTCACCTCTCAAATGTGAAATTATGTTAAAATCTTTGGGGTAAGCCCAAAAATAAAACACCTTATAGGTGTTTGTATTCCCCAAAGGTTAAATTGGTATGCACCCGGGGAAAGGTAGGCGAGATGCACACGATATAATGTTATTATATTAGTAAAATGTATACATTTCAGAAAGCCTTTCTGCTTCTCAAATTACGCATGGATATACTGTATCTTATTAACAGAATTGTAATGTTGTCTCGGTTCCCATTGGCAACTGAAAGGGTTGATATTTCGTTTTTATAAAATTGGTTACTGTCAGAGATTTATTCCCCAGAGAAAATCATGATATCAAATATGTATTGCCATAAAATAATTACAAAATATGACATCTCCTAGAAAGTAATCGAAAGATTAAATTAAAAGTCATTTCCGATTACAAAAACCTGTCATATTATAATATACATGTACATTTATATGCTGTGTGGGTAACTTTCCCAGTAATTCCCACACAGCCTAATATTGGATAATGTTACGTCTCGCTACCTTATACTTCGTCACTTTGTAAATTAGTGATACGAAATCCAAGACAATTATGCTAACCAACAAACAAGTAAAATTGGAATTGGAAAACTGCGAAAAATTCACCTAAGAATTTGAATCGTATGTTTCTGTCTTATTTACAAACAAAAATTAAAAAATTTAAGACGTGATCACGATATTGGTTCACTTTTTTTGAATCGCTGTCAGCGAATTTATTGTCAGTTTCTATTTGACATTCAGACACAATGAGACATTTGACATGCATATTAGTACCTGGCTATGCTACTATTTATGGGGCTGTAGTGTTCTGGGAACATCCGCTCTTGGATAGGCAAAAGTAAAAGGAACAAAACTTAATAGGTTTGTAGTTGGCTATATAATATAATGACGTAATTTTATTATAAACTACATAATGTTATATGTTATGTTATATTTTATTTATGTCTCACGCCATTTAAAATACATACAATTATAAAACAATAATATTAAAATCGTCTGGCCCGGCCGGTGTCGACCTATGAGAGACTAGATTCAGTATGACTATATAAAAGGTTAAATTATCACAGTAGAGTACGTCTTTTTAAAATCATTTTTATAAGTGTTTTGGATAGTGTCCTTTGTAGGCTCTGTGTTGACATAATATTGCAAAATTGTTGAATATGGTTAAGCTGGTGAAAGTCAGGAATTTCCTTAACACAATCTAAAAACAATGGAGTTCTCAGTTCTTCATAACTATTGCACTGTAAAAGAAAATGAAACTCGTCCTCAACAGTTAAATTATCACAGTGACATCGGCGATCCTGGAGCTATATAACAATACTTTTTGCCGATAGGGCTAACAACCACGGGTGGTTATTTCAAGCATCGACATTATTTGAAATACTGTGTTCTGATTGGCTTGAATTGGACACACCTTGCCGAGTTATGTGTGAATGTGGAACCTTTAATAGTGTCTTATTAGAATTCGATATATTCCACCTCCTTGAAGGTTAGGGAATAATTACAGAAGTGGCATTTCCGTTTTTGTGGAAATCTTGAACCATTTCACTCACTACTTGTCAAGAGTGAGTTCAATGATTCTTTTTTTTCAATTTTAGCAGAGCAAAATAATTGAAGATTTGTTCATCGTACTCAATAAGATCGGAATAAAGATGATTGATGTAAGATCAGTTAACTTTGATCTTACTACTGCTTTTAGAAGAATATTTTCACATCCAAATCTCGTTGATGTTAGGTAACGTTTTGATGAGCTGTGATCATTTCGTTTCTTTTACATCTCGACTAAGCCATATACATGTGGGAGATAATTGCATTTGTCATTAGTTGTTGGAATCGCACAAGAGATAAAGCAATTTTTCAAAACTTGACATCGAGTGTCACACGTAATTTCTCAATATGTGACATCGAGTGTCACGCCTAATTTCTCAATATTTGACATCGAGTGTCACATGTAATTTTTTACAACTTCAACTATTCAAGTACCATTGATATACTCCCAGACTACTACGAATTTTTAGCTATGGATATTTGATATGAAGATTTAATTTGATTGAATGTCTTTTGATGTAATTTATGTAACTAATTTAATGTAATTAAATTATTGACTAGTAAACCGAACAAACTAAACATACTTAGCCAAATGGGTTGCTCACAAACACATGGTGCGAAGAAGAGTGTGTTTTGAAAATCAGGCATTTTAAACAAACAACAGAAAAAATCACTAAATTGGAGAATGAACAGCTAAAAGAAGTTCTCGGGCATTATGTTTTTTCAACATTTGGAAATTTTAAATAAATTTTAATCATATAATTTTGTTGGCAAAATACTTCTCTCATGAAGCTTTTAACATTTCAACACTCGCCATTTTCACAATTTGTACCTTATTTGTTGTATACGACTTCTGTGTACTCTACCTTTGCTTTCGTTCGATTTCGCTTCTTAATTAGAGAGCTCCGTCGGTATTTAATAACTAGACTCTGCGCGCAGGGCATTTCCATGCAGACAATTTTGTAAAATTGCCGCTCGTGTTGCAAAACTCTGGCAATAATTAATTTTATATTGAAAATGTCATAACTTATTGGAATAAAATAAATCACAAAAGAACAGATAGAAACGAGATCAGGAACTAGTCCTGTCATCAGGTTTACAAAAAGGCGCATGAAATAGAAAATGAGTAATTTTAATTGAACTGTTTAATTTCCAGATGGATTAGCAATCGATGTATTTCCTGATATGGATGATGATATACAAGTGGATCCATTTGTACAAGTACTTTACAGGTAATAAGGATAAATTAATACAGTGCTTACATAAGCAAATGCCACATTTCCCAAATGATCCTTATATCCCGTTAATAAGAAATGTGAAAAGCATGGCAGTATATTTAAGGATTTAAGCCCTGGTCTCAGTGCATTGTTTGCCGAATCATACCATGAAGGTGTTGTTTCAAAAACAGTTTAGGAAACAACGCCTGAGTGGCCTGAGCAGCTACAACGCATTGGGTCTTGGGCTTAAATTCTTTTCACGCATTGCAATTTTTTCTACAAAAAATCATCCAAAAGGAACGAAATCACTAAAAGAACACATTTTCAATGCAATGTTTTACAAGGGTCAAGTTGACAAGTCATCAAATCAAATGAGAAAAGTCCATTCATCACCATGACAACTGTTTAGCTAGTGACCTTGCATGTGATATTGATATTTCACACACTGTTCTATATGTTAAATGCTGTGTACGGATTGGCTTGAATCGGACACACCTTGCCTAGCTATGTGTGAATTCGGCTTATACATATGCATCTTTATCATTACATTATGTATACAGTATTAGTTCCATATTTGTTACTTTTATGACGAATAAGTATATAGCAAGACTAAGTGCTGATCCCACGAGTCATTTTCATAGAATCACCCCTTAAAGAATATTTATGGAGGTCATATCCAGATAAAAATCACTTTCTTAGTACTTATTTTGTACTTAATTCTTTTCAGAAGCATATACAGGGTGTCTCGTGTTTTCTTAAATTACAGGATGTCACGAACTTCAGAATAACTTCATACACACCAAAAACCTTTTCTAGATCAGTATTGTACACCCCCTTTAAAATTTGTCAACGCTGACTACCCCAAAAATTCCTCAATTTCATGAGGTCGAAAAAGTGATGACAAACCTATAGCTTTTAAAAATAACCAAATGTAAACAGGTTTTGACATGCTCTAATAGAGGAGTCAATTTTCCCAAAATTTTGAGGGGAGTGTTTTTAACTTAACAAATCACTTTTCTATGCATAGACCCCTTTGTTTGATATTTCGGACACCCTGTACGCAACTTGCTTGGATAAACACATTTAGTGCGATGATGATCATGCCTTGTAATCACATATGAAAGTAATCTGCATTCTTTAATCTTACTACATTTGTCCCTTTAATAGTTCTGAGATTGCCGTTTAAGTTCCTGATGACCACGGAAGGGTTAGCTAATGGTCTAGTCACTGAACAACTTAAAATGTCGGATTAGGGTTAACCTCCACTAGAGCTAAACTTTGTCTGGCCTCTAAGTATCAGGCCCGTTGCCACAAGGGGGGGGGGGGGATACGAGCGACCCCCTTGGCCAAAATTCTTTCAAAATCATGCAGTTTTTCATCATTCTGAATGAGTGTGACAATTTTGGGGCCAAAGTTATCAAAAGTGAACCCCGTGGATTTTTTGGGCAAAAGCTGACTACGGGCCTGAATATGATTCTTTGTTCTTTATGTAGGCAGAAGATCACGACTCCTGTAATTAACATTCTCATTTTACATTGTACAAACTTCCGTAATAGCAAGGACGTTTCATTTGAGATCGTCAATATCAGACTATTTACTTCTAAATGTAAAACAATGGGGTTCTCCTCCGACAATTTTACATTTTTATGTATTTTCAGGGACGACCTTGATTCTCACGACCCAGGTTATACAGCAATAGAAAGAAGAACTATATCAAAGCGACATTTTCCTAGTAAGAAGATATGTTGCGCCATGGCTATTAACCGGTGTCAGGGAGTTAAGGGAGTACGTTCTCATGCGGAGGTGCACTATTGTATAAAAACCATGGAGGGACTACTTTGTGGCAGCGTAGGACTTTGTAAGAAATTCTTGTTCTGATCGGGACGTTGAATGGATGTAAATGTACAACCTCTGTCTCCATTTGAGACATTATGGGGACCGACCGTTCATTAGACTAGATGCAGAATAAAACACTACTTTCTTGCATATGATTTATAATGTTAGCTGCATTATTGTATAACTATTATATTTCATTGCAAAAAGTGTATTTTGTGAAAGTCCCTTAAATTGTTTTTCAAAATATGTTGCCCAAAATGTAAACTCTTTTATATCAATTATATTCTGAGAAGTTAAGGGTGAGTTTCGAGTGAATGTAGTTCTCGAGTTATCGCTATACCGTATATACACGGATACTGCACTTTTCAAACAAATTATCGAAATGATCAGTTTATTATGGGGACCGATAAAAACTCGTGAGAGTAGGGGAAAAGAAAAATCGTAATTTCGAGGCGGACATTTTGTTACCCGTTACGGTAACTAGTTTGAAAAGGGCAGTACCAGTGGTAGTTACAATATTCTTTAGCTTTGTTATTAAAAAGTATCTACAATTTTTTAGTATACCATTGTGAAAATCTTAACAGTTTGATACCTGTCTGGTTTATTATCGAGTTATCTATTGCAAAAACGTTATACTTGTTTGAATTTACATATTTCGATGCCACGGTAACAAAATTGTCTAATATATTTTAACATGTTAACATTTTTACTGTATGATTTCCAACTTAATCTAAGCATTACTCTTTGAGTTATTACTATAGTAAAAATGTAGTGTTACAAACGCCATAGCAACCGTCATGTCACCAACCGCCAACCAATATGTCACCACGTTATACTGGAGGCGCATGACACTGATAAGGGCCACATTTGCAACTACGTAAAGACAATCATACCGATTTCGACCAGATCATTCTCCTTACAAAGGTCTCCAAAGTATCTTTTTCTTTTTAAGATATAGCATAACATATTTGGATACAAATCGACCTCCTTCTTGGTGAAAATGATGAAAATAAAAATTTCCTACGTCGTACACGTCGCACGAAACTGGGGACAATTAGAGTAACATTATGGCGTCAAAATACCAAAACAATACAATGGCCAGTATAGGGCGCAATCAGCATTATAACGTCAAAAACGACAAGCGTTACATTTTGTCAAGTTTAGTCAACTTAAAAATAAGATGCTTTATTCTTATTCAATCCTGGTGAAATTCACAGAGCAAGTAGATCTCGAGGACAATATTTCTAAAATGTTTTTGATTTTTGAAAAACGGTCAGGAAATCCACTCGGGGCGTTAGTAAAAATTGATATGTATGGGATTTGTGGTAAAAAATCGATGCGTTACATTTTTTCAAGTCTCTAAAAGCAACTCTTATTCTCTTATTATTTGAAAAATAAAGAAATCGGTTATTGTTTTGTAAATTTCGCCATGACAATATTGTGCAGTTAAATTTTTTTTGAAATCAGACCTAAATTAGTAGGTTAAATAAAGGTAAACTTATTGCTTGTGTCCCTCGCCTTCAAAACCTTACACAATTTTGAAAATCTTAAAAGCGTTCATATAAGACGATTTGAACTGTAGCCGCTAGGCAATTGTGACGTCATAAAAGCACATGTTTCAATGAATAAAATGTGAAATTTTAGTAAAATTCTGATCAGTATTTCAAAAGTTATCCTGATTTCAACGAACCGTGTAAGCGTGAAATGTTACGCCTTACAGCGTATTTGACGATGTCGGAGTACATTTAACTTAGAAAATATGGTATATCCCATCACACTTTTCATGGAAAAATAATTTCAGTGAAATGTGAATAAAAAATACTTCAAAATGATATATAATGCATATAGTTAGCTTTTTAAATAAGGCAGATATTAACGCTTAAAGCTGAGATTAGCCCGTATTTTCCGAATTGTCCCCAGGTCCGTGCACGTCATAACGACGGAAGTTTAACCATTTTCTTAGAAAGGAAACTTGTGAAATAAGGAAAAAAGAAAAATCGAACCTTTGAGGTTCCGACATTTTGTTACCGATTCGGTAACTAGTTTGAAGAGTACAGTGCCAGTGCGGAACTCAACTTAAATCAACTTAAATCTTCGATAAAGCAAAGAAAGTCCTTTCCGATATGATCTTATTAAAAACTGATCTGATTACGGCCAAAGGTATTCTTTATTAGGAATTTATTTGATCTCTAGTCCGACCTCCTGGAACGCATTGAATACTTGCACTCGTTTCATTCTCAGGGAGAAATCATTTGATCTTCAGGAGATGAGGGGGTTGTAAGGCTTTTTGTGAACCAAAATAAATCCCAAATATTCTTAGCTGGTGGTTTTTAGGGTGCAATATGCATGTATATTTGTCTATAATCACAATCCAAATATAATATTAAATATATATCCTAATATAATATTCACTCAGCTGATATTCATCATCAGGCCCCATCTAGATCAAATGGCCCGTTTGGTGTAAAAAACACCGAAGATGTTATAAAAAATTATTTTGGTTATAATTATGAAAAATACAATCAACTGTTTTATCACTTGCAACAGAATATCACTTGCACGAAATCACAATATCTCGCACAATCGTATTGTTAATTTAAAATTTTCCAGTTTTCCAATTATCTTTAAGTACTTCTGAGACTGTCGCTATATGAGAGCGTAGCGAACTAATCTACTTAAAGGATGCATTTCGACCCTTTCGATTATTCCATAAGCCAACGATATTCGATATGGGCCTAGATCAAACGTTTTATTATTGAGGTTAAAATAAGAAAAATGGATTATATATTTTCAGTCTATCCAGCCCCTTGTCTTAATTTATTCTATCCAGATTATCATTAATCTCCTCAGTTATTGAATAATATTTACAATCGAACGCTATATATTGAAATGAACGCAAATATTGATATAAAACCAATAGGAACATTTTGCTTGCATAAAAGGGTTTTGTCTAAAAATCTTGGACTTTACCACAAAGGCGATTAGAGCGATGTTTTCTATTGACATGTTAAATCTCTTTAAAATACCCTGTTTGAAACTCCTCCATGGTTCCACTGGTGTTTAATAATATTCTGAAAAACTATGAGAAAGCAAATTACCCCTTCTAGGGTTTTATGTACCCATAGTATACAATTCACGCCTGTATACTTTATTTTTCTTATGGTTCAATGTATCCATTCTCAATTACATTTTTAACATGAACGCCATGATATCTTTATGTAAGGGCGGAGCTTTGGTGTGGAAGCAAAATACTATAGTAGATTATTGGAACTATTTTGGGGTAGATTAACCTGGGCTAGACTTTATACATTCAAAAAGACACAAGGTGTAAATACAACATAGACGCTTCACTGGAAGATCCTCAAAGGCTACTGACTGAACTTTGTTAGATGCAATGTGATGATGATTTCAGATTCATTTAGCTGTTTAAGGTAAGCCTATCTGTACACTGTAATTGCTATCTTGATGAAGGCAGAGAACAAACTAATGAGATCTGAAAAGAAACTAGGTAGTGATCCAGAGTTTTTCATTACGAGTCGAGTATTTCTTTACACATAGTTTTTTTTTATTTACAATGGCGTTCTTTCTCATCCAAAATCATAATTTCAGGCGTAAATGTGATGATTTCAACGTCCATGGCTTTCAAAAGGCTTTCAGTGATGACTAAAACCGCACCACTAAATGTTTGGATATCACTATCAATCCCGACATTCTCAACGCGGGACTACAAAATACATTTTAAATAATTAATTTGGAATATAAAATTAAATATCAAATTGACAAGTTCATCTTGATCGCATTGGAAATTGCTAAGAGGGACGGGGGTACAATGTGTTTGAAATTCCCTTTTGAATATCTTTGAAAAATTCGGCCCATTTTGAATTCCGGAATATTTAACAAGAACTTTTTCTCAAAATGCCTAGTTTGAAAAAAACATAATAACTGCAGTTACGAAGGCGGGTGTCCAGACCTAAAATGAATAAGGAACGAGGTCTTAGACCAATGTCTGATAGCGACTGTAAACTTCTGGCCGTCCTCCAAGACGTTTCTGGGTTTCGTCTCTAATGAGTACCTTCTTAATAGAAGGTATACTCGCACTGGACTAAATATTACGAGTTCGAAGCCCTATCATTATGTATTGTTAAACTATTGCTAAATCAATTGCTTACAAATGAGGTGGAAAAATGAAAAACAGACTCAAAATGTCTCCAGCCTATTCACGATCATAGAATAGTTGTTTACCTCCATTAAGATTCTTTCATGGCCTTCCCGGGGTGCTCATTTATTTCTTCTGGGGGGATTTCAGTCCATTAGCTCTTTTGCAGTAAGTAACTCTTTGAGAGAGAATAAGACAATGAGGGCATAAATCAACGCTGATGAATGAATCATAATTGTATCTAATAATGAAGCTATGCATTTATGCATTTTTTCAAGATCAGTAATGGACGCAGTCATTGCAGCATATTCGGTTTATTTAATAATACACCGACAGTAATGTTAAAGTTATGTTAATTTTGATTATTGATCTGAGTTTACATGATGTTAACAATATAATGAAATTATTCTTTGCAAAAACAGCCAACTTATTAACAGCAAAACGTATCGTATCCCACACCTACTGAGGTTCTAGTTACGATAACGGTCCAATCTTATATTCTTTTAACATCAATTTTAAAACTGCTTTTGAAAAAGTCATGACTCCAAGTTTTAAAACCCGTAGAAGTTTGGCAAGCTTAGCTCCTTCATTGAACTACATGTTAAAGCCTCTTCATGTTTTATTTTTTTTATTTACATAACCTGTGAGGAAAATACTTATTATAATATTGATGGAAATGTAACTTGACTTCATTTCAAATGCCTCCAAATTTCCCCAATCTTTCCCTCAATTACAATAGGTCAAAAATTGATGATAAATTTTTGAAAATCGTCATTCCCATGTAAACCAATGGAAAATGTTGGGTTCGGGGCAAATCTTATTTCAGAATATCCATCCAGTAAAAGATTCACCAAAATGTTTTTATATAGTCATTTTTGAAAATCATTTTCCGCCTCCTGTGTTATTTCAATGGGCGGAGTTTTTTGAAAAATAATTTTGACTTTGAGGACCTATAACTTTTTTAAACCCGAAGTAACGCATTAATTTTTTATGAAATAAAGTTAGCAAATTCAATTGACAATTAACCTAATCTTTTGCAAATTATAATTTGGCTCAGAGCTAGAAAATATAGTTTTTTAGAATATATACATTCGATCAATACCAACACTAAGTTGTATCATCCTTCTAAGTTCATACAACCATCAACTAGAACGGATGCATACAAATTTAGCTATTTCCCTAAGACAATAGCTAAATGGAACATTCTATCTGGTGACATCTTAGACTGTGTGACAGTCTAAATAGTTTTAAATCATCATACTATGCCTTTGTCAATAACTGCAATTAAATAGCTGTGTGTCCCAAGTGCACAGCAACAAGCCTGCACTACTGGTAAAGAGGGGTGATGTCAACGCGGTAGCCTGACAGTCGCCCCGGGGTATTTCAACATAAAGGGACTTTCTAGGGAGGTACATGGGCCAACCAGAAAGGTTCCTTTCCATTTTAAAATGAGTTGTAAACCTTAGATCTATTTTTAAATGTTAAGGTTTTAAATTATATTCTATTCAAATTCTATCACTGTTAAATTATATATCTGCTTTATATGGGCTTATTAGCCATTTGCAGATTATTGACATAGACAGAGGTTTGGAATTCGATTTTTAAAATAAGCCACAATTTAATATGAATTGTGACATTCATATTGCCAATAATCAAAATCTCGGCAAGTCATGGACTATAACCAAAACTTCTGATGTAACGTTCATCCATTCCACTCAATTTTATGACATTTATTGACTTTTAAAACTTTTCTCTGATTGTAGTTGACGTTGACGCTATATCAAACCAAAACACTTCTTTGCCCGCCGAAGATATAACATCAGTGGGAGATATGCCTCAGGTCAAAGGTCAAGCTGTTTGGGACACAAACTTGAACTCGACTGGAGCTGAAGATGACGCTCAAATCGATGAATCAAACGTGAAGATCGAGAATATGAAGATAGACAAGAGATTACGGATACGATTTGGTGAGATCCAAATGATGAAAATGAGATCGCTTGCAGACATAGATTTCTATATGAAAGACATCAAAAAGGAAGCGGAACAACTCCTTAAGATGAAGAGAATAATTGAGCAAAATCACGTAGAAAGAGCCATTGAATCGCGAAGACGAGCCCTGACGAGTTTAGATCACGTTGATATGATGGCTTTGAAAATTGTCGCAGATGACAACAGTCCAAGATCAACTGAGAACGACGGGTTGAATACGAGCAATCCACAATCAAAAGTTCGTTTTGATGGTGCAATTGAGGAAAGTTCAGATTATGATAAAGACAAGAACGTATATGCTAACAATGAAATTAATGCTTCCAGCGGACGTGTAAGTGCACCGCCCAACATTTCAAATAGGCGACAGAGTATCATGGCTACGCCTATATCAGAAAGGAGACCTAGCACTGTATTTTACTCGGACGACAGGCGCCAATCTACAGCGCCATCAAATACACAAGTAAGGCCAAAAACTGCAGCTAATTCACAAAGAGGCGATAATACAAATTCGGGAAGGCCAAAAACAGCCATGTCAATGATGTCCGGTGGGGGACGCCCGTCTCGAGCAAGGTCAAGGACAAGGATGACCTCGGGGGCTAGGTCAAGGAGAGAATTGGGTACTAGTGAAACTGAACCTAGTACTCCGGGAAGATCATTTCAGGAGCTGAAAGGATTGACAAATGTAGACAAACTTTCTCAGAATGATCCGAGTAATGCTCGGAGCCGTATGATGCGACAAAGGAGAATAGAGGACGATAGAAAGCACGGCGAACTTCAAAACAAAATTAAGCAGTTTTATCAAGACATTAAAGTATATAAATTAGGTTATTGTGTTTCTAAATTAGAAAAATTGTGCACAGAAAATGAGGAAAACCCAAATGATTCAAACGAGTGAAATATTATAGGAAATAAAAATAAATGTCCTTATAATAAATGTTCGTTAATGCAACTTTTTTTTTAAAATTGGAGCCACCCTTCTCCTTAACAAAACCTATCCTGCCGCAAGCCACTTCTTGGTCCAAGAATAAATTATAAGTTTGAAAAAATTCGATATACTTCCTGAAGTAAAGTGATAAAAAGACCTGCCAACCGACAAGAAGTAGAATTTATTGTTGACCGTAAGAGCATCTACATCTAAATATCTTGTATTAGACGAATGCCACAAATCGCATTACAGAAGTCCGCCGTAACCAATGACAACAAAACACGTTGCCATGGTGAAATGCCACAGCGTAATTTATCTGACATTTTGTATATCAATAAAGTCAACCATTAACCAATACTCTTAATTGTATTCAATTTCATATTTGATCAATAAAAGTTAAACTAAATAATTTGTTTCGATATGGTACATTGGTTTCGTAGCTTGACTGAGCAGAATGGCCGCAGCAAGCTAATATATCTACATGTAAATTAACAAAACAGCTCAGGTTAATCATCTCAATATTATGAACCGATTATTCCAATAACTAACATAACGTTTGATGCATTGTCCAGGGATATCTACTTAAGATTGGACGATACAACAGAAGATGATCAGAAAAGGTATATTTAAATATATTTTAGCGATTAATTTAATTTTGATCCCATCGTTATATCAAATAACAGTTGATATCAAACATGACGTATAAGTCAATGGCATTTTTACAAAATATATACTCCAATATGAAGTTCTGTAAAACCGAAATTTAGTCAGAATTTAAAGTCTATATATTAATTGTTAATATGTGAATCTAAATTGGGTTCCTCAATTAAATAAGGTCTTAAATTGATCTAATTTGCTAAAATCGTCAGACGAACACAGACCTTAACACTTCGTCCAAAGGGGACTTCCGGTTTTCAAACTTCTGGAGAAGAGTCTACATAAAATACAACTACAGTAAAACCCGTATTAGTGAACACTCCTCTCTAGTCATCACCTTCTCTAGTGAACACCTTCTCTAGTGAACACACCTTCTCATCATATACTCCTCTGACATCTGTATGAAATTGCCTCTATGTAGTGAACACCTAGTACCTACTGTGAACATTTTTTGTGGCTCCCTGTGTGCTCAATGTACACAGGATTTACTGTACATTTGTTTATGATGGCTTGCTTTTTAAATGTTGCTTGTTTTATTCACAATTAGACTAAGTCTAAAACTAAATTTGGAACGGCCATTTGGAAACCAGCAAAGTATATCAGTACCAGCATTAACAGAAAACACGGGGGTAGCAAAGGCATGAAAAACAACACAACAGGAAATAATACTCAAAACATAACCAACCCAACTCATTAAGCCAAACAACAACGATCCAATCTTGGGTCTGTAAGACAAAACTTATCAAATGGATCTGATACTAATTACTAATGGGGGCATGGCTCTTATCAATATTTTAACAGTCATTTTTAATGGCAAGCATGTACCAAGTAGCTCAAAAGTAGGAGATTGTATGAAGGTGGTAGAAGGGATGTTTAGATAAAGATAACCACAGGGGAATGAGTGTACTAATTACTTGTAATATTTGATTGGTTGATGATATTTTATTTCTAAACCATAACAAATGTTTTGAGCCTTTTAATAGGTCAAAACTGGTTGCAATTGGTCGCAATAAAGGAATATATATATACAGGGTGTGCCAAAATATTTTACAACTTTTTTAAAAGGCTAGAAAAGTATAATAACATTATGGTATTGACACAAAAGATTTTTTTACAGAAAATTAAGGAGAGGCATATTTACCATTCAAATACTTAAGCTTCTACTGACTTTAGTTTTTTGTTAGATCTTTGAATATCAATGGTAAATTGTTCGCGTGTCCGAGATTTTCCGTTTTTCCTAGAAAATTTATGACTTTATGTGATCAACAATTACATTCATATTATGTTCATTAAATCTGCTAAAATCGTTGATAACTGGTATATTTGTAATCATCTTAGGCTGAAAGAGCCCTCAATCTTGACATATTTCCTTTTTGAAGAACATTGGTCCTGATGAATGGCCGCCCAATACACCAGAGGTCAACCTCTGACTATTACACACAGGGACACCTGGAGCAGCTTTTTTATTGCAGTAAGGGTAATCATCCAAAACTTTTGATCAACTAATAGAAGTTCTGCAGGAGAAGTGGATCTAGAACTACAACAAGAATCGCTGGATCGCGCCATACACCACGGTTCCGCCCTCGTCTCTGTGCGATAATGAACGTGAAAGGCGGATGCATAGACCATTTGTAGGAAGTGACCAAAAACATGAACTAAACATTGGTTAAACTGTTTTCATTGGTTAAATCAGAGATTGCTTTATAGTGAACATAGGAAAAACGGTAAATCTCGGACACATGAACAATTTACCATTATTGCTATTCAAAGATCTGATGAAAAAATTGAAGTCAGTAGAAGAAAATTATGTCAATATCATAATGTCTAGCCTCTTAAAAAAGATGCAAGTTTTTGGCACACCCTGAATATATATATATAATGAATGGAATTGAAAAGCAGATTCGGAAATCAAATAACAACATACATCGAAAATCTGAATGAATCTGAATTTAAACGTTCACAAATAATAGTGCATATTTAAATTTATATAAATCTTCTAGTAAATTGACGTGAGTATAGTAATTAACGCTTAATATATAAATTAATCAATAAAACACAAGGACTAAATTATCTGTCATAAATACATGTAGATATATCATATCGATCTTCAAAAGCAAAACAAGGAACTGAAACAAAGACAATTTTTAATTAAAGATATATATCCATTAGCCCATGAGCGCGGTTTGTCATCTTTCGCCATTTTGAACACCTTTGCAGTTCTACAATGTATGAAGAAAATATATTCCTCTGACACATAATACTTTATGTAGATAACATATTCCATAATTTTATTTGTTTTCTTACCAGTGTACCATGCGGCCTTTCTTGTCTGTTGGATGAGTCTTATCACTACCATCAACGGTGATTCTGATTGCTCAAGCAAAGAATGTAAACCATATGAGAAGTGCATGATGGTTAATGACACGGCAACGTGCAGCTGCAGTTACACATGTGACGACGAAGACTACGCACCCGTGTGTGGATCAAACGGGCAAACATTCTCGTCCAAGTGCTTGATGGAGCTCATTGCGTGCGCTTATAATGACCAAAACTTAACGGTCAGTGAGGAGGGACCGTGCAGCGCATGCGAAGATATCACGTGTAAGAATTACAATGAATGCATCGCATCACCGAATGGAACAGCGATCTGCACCTGTGACTTTAAGTGTCCATTCACTGAGGATTTAGTCTGTGGCACCGATAGATTAACATACGCTAATGAATGCGAACTACGATACATGTCATGCTGGGAGGATGGATCCATCCTGCCGTTTTATAACGCTAAGTGCAGCGAGTGTGAATATGAATGCGATGCTTCTTACAATCCAGTTTGCGGCAGTGATTTTTTCACGTACGACAACGAGTGTTATCTACAACAGTCAGCCTGCATGCAACTAGAATACGACGGGCTCCATAAACTTTACGACGGGGTGTGTGTGAAATGCATCGACCACTACTGTGCTAATTACTCGAAATGCAGAGTCATTGATGATGTCCCGCAATGTGTATGTGACTTCCCCTGCCCTCTGAACGCAGATAACGTATGCGGGACGGATGGAGATACCTACTTTAGTGAATGTGACATGCAGAGTTGGGCATGCGATAACAACAAGCCCTACCTGTACGCTGCATACACGGGAAGTTGCATTGACGAACCAACATGCGAGAAAATCTATTGCCCGGACTACAGACGTTGTGATACCAAGATTGCACCCGTACCTGTCTGCACGTGTGAACACACGTGTTCAGAAATGGAAGAACCTGTTTGCGGTTCCGATGGACATATCTACTACAACGAGTGCACCCTCAGTGCCTATAAATGCATAGGATGGTCCAAGGCCATAGAAAAGAATATGTCGCACTGCCAACCATGTGATGGGTTCAAGTGTGATAATGGTAGTAAATGCATGGTACAGCAGGGTAAACCGGTCTGTGTGTGTGACTATCCATGCCCGCTTCACTCCGACCCCGTATGTGATAACACTGGACAAACACATTTGAATTTATGTAATCTTGAATTTTCCGTTTGTTCAACTGGGGAAAGTATTGCTTATACAATTGGATCATGTAACGCTACTTGTGACGATATTGAGTGCAAAGACGATCGCATGTGTGAGATATCTTTTCACGATGGAAAACCAATATGCACATGTAACTACATTTGTAACACGACAAATCCGGTATGTGCAACAGACGGACATACCTTCGATAGCGAATGTGATTTAACAGCTTATAGATGTATGGGATGGACTAAAGCTGACCTCGCGTCAACAGGCCAATGTGATAAATGTGTGAATTTTGAGTGTGATGCCCATAAGAAGTGTCAAGAAGTTGATGGCAAACCTACGTGCACATGTGACTTCCCATGCCCTATTGGAACAAAGCTCATATGTGGTGACGATGGTAACACGTATGATAATATGTGTGATCTTGAAGCGTCCAACTGTTTAGATAACACAAATGTCACAATGGTAAAGCAAGGCGACTGCAATCAATGTGGTGATAACAGATGCAACGTCTTTGAGAAATGTGTAGAGCTTGTAAATGGTACGCATGTATGTACATGTGATTATAACTGTGATGACGCACCGCCTTCCGAGATTTGTGGTTCAAATGGAGCTAAATATTCAAGTGAGTGTGCTTGGCTTAAAGCTAACTGTGAAAGTGACACAGATATTTTTATGGAGCCATGTAATGTAACATGTGAAGCAGTAGTTTGTCCAAGTTACGAGAGGTGTACCGTAAAAGACGGGAAAGCAATTTGTAGTTGTGATTTTGATTGTCCAAGTGAAATCGATCCTGTGTGTGGCTCTACAGGTGATACAATTCCAAACGAATGTTATTTTGAAAAGTTAAAATGTCAATTTGACAAAGAGCTCACCATCGAATACAAAGGTGAATGCAAGACTTGTGAAGAAACTGAATGTAAGGGATATAAGAAATGTTCGATGGTACAATGGAGGCCTGTATGTTCGTGTGATTTCAGTTGTGATGACGTCGATGACACTGCGGTGTGTGGTTCAGATGGCACTACATACGCAAATCCCTGCGCACTTGAGAAGGCAAACTGTAATAATGATCAGGCAGTACAAATAGTGAGCAACACAGCATGTGAATCTTGTGAAGACGTTAAGTGCACTGATCACAAACGATGTAAAATCAACACGAAAGGAAAGGTGATATGTTCTTGTGACTATGGTTGCCCAAGTAACTACAAGCCCGTTTGCGATTCCGATGGTGATACAAACTATAACGAATGCATGTTTCATAAGTTGGCGTGTGAGTGGGAAGATGAAATGAGTATTTTGTACACGGGTGAATGTGAGAGCTGTATGGACAAAGAATGTACGGAACATGAGGAATGTAGACTGATCAACTATAGGGCAAAGTGTTATTGTGACTACAGTTGCGAAAATGCCAAACCAGCTCAAATGTGCGGCTCCGATGGTATCACGTACAGCAGCAAATGTGAGTGGCATAAAGCTAACTGTCTCACTACTAAACCCATTACCGTTGTAATGAATAGTTCCTGCGAGACCTGTGTCAGTAAAGTATGTCCAAAACATCAAAGATGTTCTGTTGTATCAGGAAGAGCGTTATGTTCTTGTGATTTTGATTGCAAACCGGAATTTAAACCTCTATGTGATTCTAAAGGCGATACACACGCTAATGAATGTACTTTTGAAAGACTGGCGTGTGAATACGATGAAGGTCTTACCATTTTGTATAATGGTCAATGTGAATCATGTGATGACAAAGTTTGTAACGGGTATCAACAATGCAAAATGGTCGACTTCAGAGCTAATTGTACTTGTGATTATGCCTGTCACGATTCTATTCGGCAAGTATGTGGTTCAGATGGAAACACATACAAAAACAGATGCCACATGGAGCGCAAATCTTGTGCTCAGGGTGGTGCTATCAGTGTTGTAAAAGACGGTGCTTGCGAAACGTGTGAAAATAAGAAATGTGATAATGATTCAAAATGTCAAATAAAGCTTGGTGTTGCCGAGTGTACATGTGATTTTGAATGTGATGAAGATTGTGACGATGAGGTTTGCGGTTCAGATGAAAATACATACATTAACCCCTGTGTTCTCCAGCGTGCATCGTGTAACAATGGCGGTAACATCACAATGCTGCATGAGTGGGAGTGTGAAACGTGCAAGGACAAAACATGCGATCCAAATGAGGAGTGTGCTATAAGAAAAGGGAAAGCATATTGTGTTTGTGGTTACGACTGCGAACCTGACACCCGACAAGTCTGTGCAACCAGCCAAGGATCACCTGTACCAAGAACATATAGTAACGCATGTACAATGAGAAAAGCAGCATGTAGAGCTGATAAAAACGTCATCATTGTTAAACAAGGTCCATGCGAGACGTGCGAAGATCACACATGTCCTGATAAAGCAACATGTGAAATAACAAACAAGGGGGTCGCCAGGTGTAACTGTGACTTTGAATGTTCCGATGCAATGTCACCAGTCTGCGGCAGTGATGGTGTAACATACAGTAACGAATGTGAACTCCAAAAAGAAGATTGTAAAATACGACCCAAAAGGCTATATGTTATAAAAGAAACTGCATGTGGAACATGTGATAATGTAAAATGTGATGGATACAAACAATGTGTTATTCAGAATGGGGATTCTGCGTGCACGTGTGACTTTCAATGTTCTGACAAGCAAGATATTCTTTGTGGAACAGACGGTGACATCTATTTTAATGAATGCCAACTTAATAAAACAAATTGTAGAAAAGACGCCAGGACCAATATTGCCAACAAAGGTCCATGTGTGACAGCAACGTGTAATGATTTCAAATGTAAAGCCTTTGAACAATGTGAGTTAAAAGATGGCGCTCCTGTGTGCACTTGTGACTTTCAATGTGATGATAATCAAGAATTGTTATGTGGAACTGATGGCCAGACATACTTCAACACCTGTAATCTGGGAAAAATAAACTGCAATCAAGGGCAAAATTCAACTGAACTTCATAAAGGTCCTTGTAGAGGTAAGTTCTTTGAAGGCTCTTTTAAAGGCAGAATCAAATCTATAGTGGTGACAAAATTGCAAGCAAGGTGTACAATTGACTTAACAATCCGTTCCTAACAATCTCAAATACAATATCTTCAAAAGGGCCCACATTTGTTATGCATTGGATAAGTTATTAAGGATTTAAAGTGTAACCATAATAATAAATAATTCATTATTGTAAAAATCTTAATGTGTCCAAAACTAAAGAATGCACTTTTGGGATTTTTAGAAAATAGACATGACACTGAATGCCATGAGCCAAAAATATTCTTAAATTGAAACAATTTTTTGTTAAGCTTGCTTGCTAGATCTGATTCTCTCTTTAACTTCGGCCCTCGGTCCAATATTTCACTATATTGCTCGCATAAATGACGTTATTAGTATTATTACCACCGTTAACGACCAGGACTGAAACAGCAAGAAAATCTTACGCATTGAACGATATCTAATTTCCCGGGGAAAATTGCCGGTCCAGAATATATTCTAGACCGGTCCATATGGACCACCACTATGACGTCACACATTTCTCAGGTCGATATAGTAAAATAAACGCCTTCTAAACTAGCACTAAAACCCCTAGAACTGGCCCGGCAAGGTGGTTAATAAGACTGATTTGCATTATACATTTGATTAGAGCATTTTCATTCTTATATGGGTTTCACTTGCATTAAATGGTTGTATTAAATCATTTCTTTCATTGTACTAAAACACATTATCGTTATCAATTATATTCACGTTGTCGTTGAGTATATTTATTCCATGATGGTGAAATTCCCTGCAATCTGATTGGTCCACGTGACTTAAATATATTCTGTATTTACACGCACTTTCCTGTGTCAATGACGTCAGCGTTGGGATACGGTCCAGTATCCCAACGCCCCATATTTCCATCCAGGATATGACTGTTACTGAAAAAAATCAATGGCGATTACTTTACACCAACGCATGCTTATCTTTGAATTTTGCTATAAATATCTGATTCAAATATCAGAAACGTATACTGTGATCACCACAATCAATAATTTTAAGAGGAAAAAAGCAAACAAAAAGCAAACAACAAGGAAATAAAGATTTTGAAGGAATATCGATGTAAAATATCTCTGAGGTGAGAAGGTTGATCTGTTTCTCCGGCCCCAAGCCAACGGACTTGATTTAGGCGAGTTTTATATTGGTAATCATGGAATAAAAACGTTATTCAATGATTTCTTGTGAAATACAGAAAATATTCTTCCCTTGAACGTCTGTATTTCACTCTGCTAGCGCATCGTGAAATACAACCTTCTCGGGAAGAATATTTTCTGTATTTCACTCGAATCATTGAATAACTTATAGTATTGTCGAAAATTGACGATTTTACAGGAAAATGTGCACTTTTGGCACAATATGGAAAATACTTCGTATTCTAGAAACGCTTATTCTCACTTTAAAATTGAAAAACGATTGTCTTTGATATTATTCCTATTCGAGTGGAATCATTCTTCTAACGTGTTATCCTTAAAAACATCTGATACCCGGATTTTCTACACTTTTCTAGATCCTACCATTTACATTCTCTTGACTTCACTTCTTTAAAGAGAGCTTTGAATTCGGGTAGTTTAAAACTAGACTCCGGGTAGGGTACCGGATCCATGAATGGAGGATTTTGGCAGGATTATACGGTACCCTATTTTCAACAAACCAATAGTTAGACAATTCAATTTTCTAAATATAAATATATTCCTAATTTCTGATTTGCCCCGAACCCACCATTTGCCATTGATTTACATGGGAATGACGATTTTCAAAAATTCATCAAATTTATATATCATCAATTTTTGGAGGTATTGGAAATAAATTCAAGTCATTTTTCTATTAATATTATAAGTTATTACATCGCAGGTTAAGTAGATAAACATTTAAACGTAAAGAGGCTTTAACACGTAGATCAATGGGGGAGCTAAGGTTGCCAAACTTATGGAGGGGAGTGTACAATCCCTTTCCATAGTTTAGCCTACATGTACCTGAAAGCTGTTTAATCATAATACATATTTTTATTTTCAGTGTCTAGAGCTTCCTCTGTAACTAGCCAGACATCAATTCTAATTACTATAGTGACCATTCTGATGTATGCGTTGATGTAAATGAAGGTTGTCATGGACACTCAATAAAGAAACAAGGCAGATTATATCATTTGGTGTGTAAAAACAATTTATGTGTATATCTCATTACCAAATGGAAGCAAAAATTCTAGCATTAGAGTTATTACGCACATGAATGTATTTCTACATGAACGCGTCCGATTAATGAGGCTCATAAACTGAACTGAACTGAAAGCTCAACATGGCAAAATTAATGTTAAAATGAAGGAGACAACAAAAATGAATAAAAATATAGACTTATATGATGAAATTAAGCCTATTGTGGCAGCTAATACTGTTTGTACAGTCGTTATATAGCGTTGTGTTGTTTCATGTGTACATATATATACCTTAATTGTGTTATACCAAAAATATTGTTGTACAATTATATGAAAATGTTGTAAATTGTAAATATGATTTTGTAAATAAATTAACATATGGTGAATAGTTGCCTCGATCTTCGAAATCCATTTCATGGGAAAGATCTCATTTATAGAAAAAATGATTTCCACATTAAAACACTATATGTTATTATATCCTTATTCCTGGCACTTCTCCTTTCTAATGGTATGTCCAATCCCTGAGACTAATACATTCTACTATACCTTGCATTTGGTGTTCATGAGCACCCCATTTGGCTTATAAGTAATGATTATGTTATTTGTTTTTATTTGTCTGTTCCTTATTAATTGTTTATTTACTGTTAGATGTTAATAAGGTACTTTCAAAAATATACTAAACAATACAATTAGACAAACTGAGTATCGTTTGCATTTCTAGCTAGGGATTCGGTATAGTAAGAGCGTTTGTTTTTTCTATTATTGGTATGGAAAGATGATGTTTGAAAGAAGTCCCACATACGAGGGGTTATCATAAAGTTCTCATAATATCTCTTAAGTTTCTTTATTTTTCAATATACGAAATTTTCACAGAATGTGCAGCATACACATTGTCTTATAATCCATCAAAATATGAAGTTATACTACATATTTTCTGCTGGATTAATACAACATTCTGTGCTACATATTCTGTGAAGATTCCATTAGACTATATTGAAAAATAAAAATAAATTGAACTAAGGATATATTATAAGAACTTTATGATAACCCTCGTACTTCAAGATAAAATTGAGCAAATCAGAAAATAATTATTTTTTGTGTCATCCCTACAACAAACATACTTTACCAATTATCTTCTCATTTTGAACATTAAAATATGAATTTCTACGTTTGACCCACAAAGGACTTGTTGATTGACCCACAAAGGACTTGTTGATTGACCTTTCCATTTATATACAATATCTAATTCGACATAAATTTCTGATGTAGTTTGTCGTATAGGCGGAGTGGCATTTTTCGCAAAGGTCGTAGGCCCTGATCCAACCAGGTAGGGGTTTGTAGATTTGCGAGACTTTTGAGTGTAAATTTCTACGTTACTTTGCCCTACAAAGGACTTGTTGATTGACCATTCCGTTCTTAATATTTTCAAAATCTAGCTTGACATGACTTTCTGGTGCAATTTGCCGTTTAGACGAAAGGATAGTTTTGCAATTAGGCCCCAGTATAGTACAACAAGGAAGGCATATATATTTGCGTTTGCCCTACAAAAGACTTGTTGATTGAGCTTTTCGTTCGTGATATATTCAATCTACATGTAATTCGACAAATCGACATAAATCTCCGATGTAGTTGTGGTATAGACGAAATGATAATTTTCGTAAACCTTTAGCCCTTATCAAACCAACCAGGCATTCGTAAATTTTTGAGACTTTTGAGGCTATTGTTTACGTTTGCATTTTAAAGGACTTGTTGATCAATTTTTCGTTCGTTAGATTTTTAATATCTAATTCGACATAAATCTCATCAGATGCAGTTTGCAGTAGAGACGAATTCGAAATGACTATATTGCAACTGCATATAAAAATAGAAACATATGTACTTGTCCAAACTTTTGTATATTTCAGATAGTTATGTATAATGTGCAGCAAAGCTGTGGCCTTTTGTAATTTAGGGAGTTTCAGCCATGTTAATTTTTCCGAAAATAACATGGCAGAGAAGCATCAAAATATAACACAAGACAAAATCGTGTTTAATAACTAGCAATACTAATGTTACAACCATCTTACTCGGTACTTATAGTACTCGCAATCCTTGATTATAGATACACTTATTTGGAAGGTTATTTGAGCTACCCTTTGGTATTGATACACTTATCTGTGTTTTTTAGGCCCGAATACTGAGGTTAATTTTTTTAATTATTGAGTCTTATTCTATTGCATTAATATGTAGTTGACTTTGTAACTACGGACGTATGATATGATATGATATGATATGATAGGTCTATTACAAAATATGTATATATAAATATCGTAATGATTAATGAACCTAGATGAAGACTAATCGTTAAAACAAACTTAGACGATATTTAATATTTAAAGAAAAATAATTTGATAGATAAATTATGCATGTATAAGTCCCTTAGTAAAACATTTAAGGGACACGGGTATCAATGTTGTTGTCTACGATCCCGGTGTGAAAGAAATTATGGTCCCCAAGGGATTATGGTCCCCTTTCTTAACGGCCCTTACTGGCCCTGATTGCGTATAAGATATTGAAGGAAAGAGTTGCATTTAGGTCACCATATAAATCAATGGAGAGTAGGACCATAATTTGATAGGACCTCCTACCCTTTTACACCGGGTTTACGCTATTTATTTAGTTGTAGATTAAAGATCCTTATTTAAAGACGTCGTCTTTATGAATTATTTAAGACATCAGTATTCTCAGAAATTGATTATCCGAAGCGGATACCAAGTTCTGACCAGCAGACGAACAATTGCAGACATGACTAAGTTTGTTTATTTAACGGTTAGATTTGTTGACTTACTGATCCGTATTGTAATCTCTGGGAAGACGTTATTTTTATTTATTCTATACTTTGTATTTGCGTCCAATGTAGTAAAGTTGATACTTTTATGAACAATAATGTCCTTTTAATGGCCATTTTGTATGCCTTTTTATTTCCAGACCATGTTTTGATTTTGCCTCGATGTTATTGTGTCATAGTGTTTTTGCTTTAAAAATTCAAGAAATGTCAACTTTTTAATTAAGGAATGTTGATGATGTCAACGGACCATGAGATAACACATTGTCCGGGGAAAGATATCAATATCAGTTGTATATCGGATAGAAAAATAAATATTATAGTAGATGCTAATTGTTTGCTCTGAAATAATGTGACTCATGACTATTCCAGCGAATCAGGTAGATATTTCAACGGTTTTCGCGTAATGAGAGTATTTAGTTTTCGTTTCTATTAATTTGACAAGAAGGGTCGTTGATAAACACATTAACTGTAAAAGTATTTATTAGAAGTACCTGTTTTAACAGTCTTTTCGCTTCTCTTTTTGTCTCTCGACAGGCATAGGCGAAGCCAGGGGGAGGGGTGCGGTGCATAACCAATAGAATAGAACCATGAAATAGAAGAAGAGATAGAAGCTTCTAGCTCAATTTTGAAGGAAGTTGCATCTCTTATAAGCGGCTTCAGATATGATAGCTAAACTACAAAACAAACTAAAATATACAAAAATTAGGACATGTATAAATGTACTGCTTCAATATGGTCCTTTGATTGCTTATTTTTTAAATTCAAAGTAGTTCCAAACATTTGAAATTTTACTATAGGTATTAAGAGGCATATTGGAGTGAAACCCCCGGGATGTGTAGCTACACGTAAACCAATATCATATCACGAGTGTGAAGTCACATATTTTTCAAGACCATTCTCATACTATTGAAGGATGACACCTCTGGATATCATGGACACGGAATTCTGCTAACACCGCGTGAAAAAGAGAAATTGCCTGGCAGGCAATTTTGATCTATCGTAGACCATATCAGTATCAAATTGCCGATTTTTCAACCTCGTCTTGCGGGGCCATTTCGATTTGAAACATCTTGAATTTGGTGTCAAAATAAAGCTGGTCACGCCCACTTTCATAGTTATCAATGAATCATTTACTACGACTACTATATTCATTTAGGAGGCGTGTAAAGTTAACCAATCAGAAAGACTGTTGTTCCATATATGGCAGTTCATTAACATATTCAGTGTTTACTAAGTGCTTTTCGCGTCATGACAACACGAGAAGTAACCAATCAAGATGCCGTATTTTATCACGCGAGTTCAGAGTTCAGCATGACATGCACACGACATGTAGTCTGAGCTGATCGCGATGTTGAACAATTTCTTCTCGGAATTTGTCCAGATATATCAGTGATTCTAAATTAAGGTAGGATCTGCCATTTCTTCCAGTTCACGTTATACGTTATCTCTATCAAATCTTAAAGTTTTGGATGAAGATACGAAGGATATATTTAAAAACGAAGCGATTAATTTGACGATCTGATTTTGCAATTTGCAATGACCAATTTACTGCAAGTCTGCGCAAAGTCTTGTATCTAAATGCTTGTTAAGCCACTCAAAAACAAGATCCATATTTTCTTAATTTGATAACTTTGCAGAAAACCTGTTTTCATAACCTGTTTTGTGCGTCTAAATTCGAGTAGGATAAAGCTGGGAATTTTATTCCAAGGATAAAGGATCCTGGGATGGCAACGGGTCTTCATTCCAGAACTCACGATTTTTGTTGATTCTCTGTCATAGTACTTGTCTAAAGTCCCCATATCTGCTCTCTTACTGGCATACTTGGACACATTTCCCCCCCCCCCCTTAAATTGTCCTCAGTCAAATTACACCCTCTCGCCGATTTACATAGCCATTTCCCAGAACCCGGGAATCAGAATCGCTAATGTTTGCCATATTGAATATGTACTGTAATATCATACTCTACATTGCCTGCTACGCGTAATGGTCACGTGACTAGCGCGATACATGAAAAATGGGGAATCTCGAAACAACAATATTTGGGCACTTTTATTGCAAATTTCAGGTATTTATAAGTGTTTGTGGTATAAAATATAATCCACAGACATAAATGAACATCCAAACTACATATTTTATTAAGTTTTGGAGCCTTTTTTGCTCTTAAATTAACATCTTTAAAACTGATATTTTGTATATCTTTGATGATATATTTGATACTGTAAAGATAATTCTTTTTTTGTATAATGTATGCAAGAACACAAATGTGTACAAAATGTCCCTACCAATGGGTGATCCCGTCAAATGGTTATCCTGAAAATGAGTAGACAAGACTTTACCAACACAATTTGAGGACACTGTGGCTAGTCGATCTATGTGGATGCAGTCAGGCACATGTAATGTTTCGTGAGTGCCTGCCTCTGTACTTTTCAATGGAAGAATTTTGCACTTCTGTTTAAATAATCTATATTTACTCATCCGTGTATATCATACTTCATTGATTTACAAAACCAAAGCTACGCTATAAACGCACATTCTCTGATATTTTTACGGAGTATAGATAACTCAAACGAGTTCACTCTACCAGTTTTATCATCTCGCTCATAGCTGTGAGAAGGTATGCATAATTTGCATAAAAATTCAAGTAATATATAATCATTTCACGTACACAAATATGTCTGTGTGAAGTAAAATACAAATACAATGCGTTTTATAATATTTTTGGGGTTATGGTATGAAATATCCGCTTTAAAAAAGCAATTTAATTATGATGTATCATGTGGATTAGTAGACGTTCTTATTGGATTCAATGAACAGACTGGCTAGGTTTTAATAGAATCATTTTGAATGTGTGTATTTTTAATATTTTAATTCACTTGTTTCAAGGAATCTGTGGGCACGTTCAGGTGAGCTGACAAAATCATCAAGATTTACGGATGGTCAATCTGTTGGCTGTTCATTGTCACTTTCAAGGAATGTTAATGGCTCTGAAATTTGTAGCCTTGCCCAAGTCGATATTTATTTACTTATCTGATCTTGAATTATTACCACCTTGTACAATCCAATGCATCATCGGTGATATTATGCTAAGTTATTCAGCGGTTCCGAGATTCCCATAATACCTACGCTTCTTAAGGGTATTGGGAAACCTTATTGTCAATAATATTGATTGACAAGATCGCATGGACACGACGTGTGACTTCAGGCTGATTGACCAATCAAAACGTTATCAGGTTAACCTGCATAAACAAAGCAAACTACCTGTCTAGGACTTGAAATTCAATGATCTGATCGAGTGTTTCTTGAGAGTTACAATATATTATGTTATTAAATGTACATTGGAATGTAAGCAGTCATTAATACTCGTATAAATGAAATCATGCAATTCAATGTTGATTCAAAATCAAAACTGAATTCGCGATGGAAATGCACGAAGACCTAGTCCAACAATGTAGGGCCGTCGTTGACAAAAACATTATTGGGTCGGTAAAGCATGTGGCTTTCTCTTGGGTACAAGGCGGCCATAATAGAAATCAAGATAAGTAAAAGAGACAGACTTGGGCAAGGCTATGAAACTTGATTTGTGGGTATTCCAGTGGGTTGATGGGTCTTTGGCTCTAAATTCACTTCATTGGCGTACCTAATTTAAACATTTTCATTGTCATCATTACATGTTATGGACCCATTTTTCAAATTAATAGTATTAGGGATAAAACCATAGTTTTTTCGTTTTTTCATCTGTAATGGCATTTTCCAGTTGATGGGTTTCTCGTATAGTATTTTCAATTCTTCGCGAGGGTGTCTTGTAATGGTGTGGCTAATTACTTTACTGAATGAGGAATGTTTATCCAAACAATTGATACAAAGAAAATCTGGCCAGTTGTCCATCAGTAAATAAATCATCATGATAAAAGAATTATTTATTATAGCATCCATTTGTTACCGTTCTGAATCCAAATGATACATAGTGGCATCCATTTTATGCATATATGTTGACGTTTACGAAATGTTTTTCAAATATCTTCCCTATAACAGGAATATGGTAGCTTTCACACATTGTCATACTATGCATATTGAATATGTATGCAAGATTTCAAGTCACAATGTTAAGTAGATACTCTGAGATCACTTACCTCGATTTGCTGTCATATTTTTGCAATGATCCCATTCCCTATAATGTACGCGAGCACCCACGATACATTGCATATAAATGACTGCATCCACATAGATCGACTAGCCACAGTGTGATAAAGCAAAACAATCAAAATCATTACTAAAGTCATTCATTTTATTAAGGTTACTGGGGTAGAGCTTATGATCTGCCACTCCAACAATATCAAAATCAGCCAGCAACTGGTTTAGATATTCCTTTGACGTGTTAAACCCATTGAGATTAAAAGCAGAAATTTTAAAGATTGACATATTAACACTATATACACTTATACAGACAGTTATTAAAAGCATATGTAAAACTGTATTAGACAATAGAAGTAGCCTAGGTCCAATCAGCTCGATCATCCGTGCTCGCGGGATAACGTGATTGTTACCTCTGGCCATTATCTTGTAGGTGATAGTCCAAGGTATCATCATCATTATAACTGTTATAATGGCTCCTATGATTGGGCCTTTGATTATCATAAGAAACATAGTTATCACATTGCTTACGTGGTGCGCAGATGTGCTCATCTTGATCGGCAAGATACCCTATTTATTTAGTATTTTAACAATCAACACAAGTTATAAGACTTACATACCATATTTCAGCAGATATCGGATAAATTCAAAAAATCATTTCTTGATTGATAAAATCAATTATAAACCGGAAGTGCGTTATGTGACGTCCGCGCGTGAATATTTCAATTATTCAGATTTTGCCGTGAATTCGATTTTGAATGCTTCTAAATGATCTTCTAATGCTTACTATGATTTCTATAAGTGATGTTTTGACTTCCCTGCTTCATAAAAAGAACATTAGCACCATTTACTCTACTCAAAAAGTAAAATCCTGGACATATTTTAAATCATAGATCTCTTAATAGGATTCACTTTTCAAAATTTTGATTGACTGTACAATACTTTTGTACTTCAGATACATTGTCTTTTAAATATAATGCATATCGGAATTTTATATAATTTTGGCAAAGCCTGTCCACACCCTCATTCGTCCACTTTCGGTCCATGGACTCTAAAATAACAAGAATTTGCTTTGCCGGAAGCGTAAAATTGGTTGTTTTGAATTGCGCCCCTTGTATTTTTCATCTGCCTCTTGAACAAAAAGTTACTGAAGCCACTGGTATGTCATCGATCATCAGGTAGTATAGTGCTACCTTCAACAAGACAGCAATACATCATAATTGCTACTGTAAAATAGACAATGATGATTCTTAATTAAGGTAGGCCAATACTCCAATACACGATAACGTTTAGTTTAGTTCAGTTTAGTTACCTCCTGTTTGAAGAGCTCTCATGGTGGTACAACTTCGTCTACATCCGGGTTCTTTCCCATTGCATTACACAGGGGTGCTATTTTCAATGCCACACTGCGACTCTAATAAACATTTATGTAGAGTTGATTTTGCACAAACGATATGTATATGTGTGTAATTAAGATATATAACAAGGCTTTTTGAACTATAATCCCCAAATCCGAAGAAATCTGTAGTTGAAAACGCCGTCCGATTCCAGTGATGTCACTGATTTCCCAGAAATTGCTCGGACGCCATGAAGATCGAAAAAATATGAATAATGTTACTTTGAATCTCCGATTATCTTTCTGATTATTGAATATATTGGATCATATAACTATGCTTGAGGGCTGGTCGAAGATCAGAAGCTTAGAAACGTTCAGAGTAATCGGATCGTTCGGCTGGCCAATGAAAAATTGTCCCTTCCAAAGCGATGCATCATGGGAGATATTTATGTAAATTACCACCTGAACTTTTATCGCGAATAGGACTATATATTAGCTATGCTATTAGAATGAGCAATACCAGGGAGCAATATTAGGGATGATGTTCGAAAGCATTTTTCACGATTGGCTTGTGTTATTCAATATATAAAAAAAATCGTTCTTTCTCGAAACTAACACCCCCTGGATAAATTACGCATGTTTCACAGGAAGATTTGTGACCACTACACAAATAGGTACTAAAATTGTTCTACTTGAGCCACCTTAAATGTACACTCGGTTGCAGTGCAATCCAGTTACATTGGATGATTCAGTCTCATTTATATCCTAGACCTAAGTCGAACAATATCGATGTCAAACTATTGGGAAAGTACCTGATGTTTCGAGAGCTATTGCGATTTTGTTGTAATTGACTACGAACAAATAAGGATACACTTATACTCGTCCTCTCCTACAATCATCAATGGAGAACTTGAAATGACTGAAAAGGATAGATTCATATCGATCTGTAATGATCTGGAGAGAGGGTCATTTCGGAAATAATTGAAAAAGGAACAAGAAAGCGTAAATTCTACCATGAAAACGAAGTGTGAACTTCTACCAAACAATGGCGTAAACGCGGCAATTTGTATTTGTTTGATATTCTTCTGGCAAGGTATGCAAGATTTGTTAAAACTTTTGAACTTGAGACGAAGAAAAAGCTCAGATTTGACCTAGATTTTGTTAAAGAATATTTCAGATTTGACCTACATGTATCACCTAGATTTTAGGTTGGCAAACTGAAATTGTTTAATTCCATTATCTACAGTATTAGATTATTTTTATTTAGGGGTTTGCTGTGGTAACGAATGCCCCAAATCGGTTGGTTATGTCTCACCATTGAAAGATAACCATGGGAATTGGATCAACGTGCTCACTGATTTGAAAATTCCCTGTCCCGGGTACATCATTGGCTGGGAACACCAACGTTTTACCAATAGTGAGCCATTCTGGATAGCTGTGTTAACACCATTGGGTAGCATGCTATATACGGTGCGACATATAGTAAAGGTTCCAGTTACACATCTAGGCCTAAATCGACTTAGAAGTCCAAATCTGAAGGTATGAAGTATCTCATTACCTTTATTACGCTTTGTTTATAAGAGTGATTAATTTGAGTGTAATATATAACTTATTAATGCTTGTTGAAAGTTCTCTGTTTATGAACTTAGACAAAATATTAAAAGTAAAACTCATAGCAATAAATAGAATACGTTGCTAATCCTGGGATGAAATGTGATTTTCAAACATTATATCTTTGAGCCACAACCTTCAATTTGATTATAAATATCACTAATACAATAAGTTGCATTCTCTGTAGAAGTGTGGTTCGTTCCTGCCTACCTCTCCATCGGTCTTTAAAACATCTATTTACAGAGAATATTCCCATTATAGGTGGAGCATGGTGATGTTTTATCTGTGATATTCGCAAATCAAACCATTGAAGGGGGGATAGCGAACGAGCGTAACCACACCCGATCCCCTGTGTTGAAGCCAGAACAATACTATAGAGTTTTGAGTAATGGGCGATATTTCGTTGACGACACCACCGTTGGAGACGTTCTCAATATGAATCCCAGTGAGCTCTATATAAGAGGCTATGCATTGAGGCCTCTGCTTTCCTACGGTAGGTTCAGACACTATCTATAAGACATTCGATCGTTGATATTGGAATAGGGAAAACGATTTCAGGATGTGCTATCAATGAATGTACAAGTCAATCATGAAGAGAGAATAGTCGCTTCAAGACCCTGGACCCCCTCCCCTATCTACTTCAACAACAGGTTGTAAAGTATATGGGGGTCCAGGGTCTTGAAGCAAGACTGAAAGTAGGCACAATTCCCTTTATTATTTCAGATAATCCATCAGAAAGTATATCTACTGCAACAAAGGTGGCGACAGACTCGACCATCGTTGATCATGTAATCAATGAGTTGACGTGCAGAAGTAAAATAGAGTGCGCTATGATTTGCCTTAAAGACATCCGTTGTCTTACCTATAGTTACACTAAGTTGACGAGGATGTGTGTGTTGCATGATATCGACGACAATGACAACTCTTTGATTAAATCAAAGCCTGGAACAGATTTATATTCCATTATGCTGTGACTTTTTCCCTTTGCCTTATTGTACCCTATATTCCCCCATTCAGTAGTTGAATAGTAAATAAAAACAAAATCAAATTTTCCACTGTACCTGGCCTGTTACATGCAGTGCACAGAAGCTTAACCAATTATAACCCACTCACTCAGTTACAACTCACAACACAACACCAGTTGAATACTCAATACAAAAGATATCAAAATTTCCAGATTAGATCGTGGACCATTTACCTTTCATAAGAGTCAGTGTGGAGTTTACGTTGGATAAGCTAGAGATTAAATTAACATCTGCAAATATTGAGATTGTAAACGGTTTAACTATTAAATAAATGTAACCAGGCTATTTCATATTTTGAATTTCATATTGATCAATCCCCATTTGTTTCCTCAAAATAGATCAGCATACCTCATAAAAGTTATCTAGTTTACAACTTTATAATTGAGTGATAAGGTTTTGTAACTGTCCTTTGAATAATAAGCTCCATTGACGGTGACTCCAGTTGCCACAGAGTGAACCAGGATAACTTTGTCGTACTCTTGCTCCACCTACCCTTTGTTATTATTTTTAATCTGCCGCCTACGGGCCTACCATCGCCCATTTACACTACTATATCACATAATACCCAAGGCTCATTGTTTATCCGGAATCTTGACATAAAAATTGGAACTGGACTTCTGTTAAATTATATTGCAAATCAAAAGTGCCGATATCACTGCGTGAAAATGGAATTCCAAGTCTAAGCACGTCTAGAAACTAAGTCTAAGCACGCTGGGTGCTTAGGCATGACTCGTTTTGACACCTCTTGGTACGCGATGAAACCAACTCTAGACATCTCTAAGCACGTCTAAGCACACACAGTGCAAAGACGTGTTTAGAGTGTGACAAAAAGTCTTGGCACGCCTTGAACTAATGATTGAAATCTAGAATAAAGTAATTATCGAAACAGATAAATGTATATTGTTAAAAGCAATTATGATCAACATTCATAATTTAGACATATTTTCACTGAAATATACTAATTTTTTAAAACATCTTTTATCTATCTTATTTATTATTTTGTATAACAAACTGTACATGTTTACCATGACGTTTTACATATATGATTGAATAATAATTCACGATCTGTTTAAAGCATGTAAAATACCAAAAATGAAACAAGCTGTACTGATAACTAGTAAAAATATTTTTCCCGGGCATCTATCAAGTTGTTATATCAAGCCACGGGTATCAAGCAAGATACTACATAGTATTATTATTGTGCATCTGACCAAATGGATGAAAAAATTATGTGTTCATATTGTGTATGCAATGTATCATTACTAATTGATATAGGGCAGGGGCGAAGAAAGCTTTCATTCAGGATGAGGGGAGGGTGTGATCGCCAAGAACTTTTCGGTTTCCAGTCACGGAGTTGCGATTGTTGCATAAACAAGCCAAAAAATAAGATTTATTTTGAATTTTATAGAAATTTCTTCAAAATTGAGCTATAAGCTTCAAATTAAATGATTTGATAAATCCCCCGCTCATATAGTTTTGATTACAATCAGAATTCTCAATTTTGAGAATTCACTTTCAAGTCACTTTTCCTTTAATCTATTTGTAATCACTAATAGTATTAACTAGATCACACCCTTCTTCAAAGGACTTAATGTAAAATACCCTTGCAGCAAGGATGACTAGATCAATACGTACTCGATTTCCTCTGCCCACCAACAACATTGTTATGTAAGGACGGAAATAAATCACTGTAACCTTGTAATCAGGCATTTGAAAATGACTCCTTTTCCATTATGTCCAATGTCCATGGTAAGAGCCAAGGGTAGATGAGGGGGGGAGCATGGAACTCTTTTTGGCCAAAATTTCAATCACATGCAGTTTCTTCGGTAGTTTATAACTAGACTCTGCTCGCAGGGTAATCATTTTTTGGACACTTTCCGAGAGCTCTTTGAATCTCAGGGCCATCAGATGGGGGATCGGGAGGGGGTGTCCAGATATCGCTGTATAGGATGTTGATCTGACACGATTTATGCCGGGATCCCTTCTGATCTTGCACCCCCATCCCTAGCCTTGCCCATGTCGGTATTTTTTACTTATCTGATCTTGAATAATAGAAATCAAGATAGGTAAAGATACCGACTTGGGCAAGGCTACCCCATCCACCCTATTCTAATCTTTCTCGAAACTACTCCCCATATGGTGCGATCGCGGCATAACTTAAGCGAGCCCAAAAAATGTTAAGATTTATTTTGAATTTTACAAAAATTGATGCATCTTTCAAAATTCTTCAAAATTGAGATTGAAACTTCCAATAAAAAATTGAAAGCCTTTTCTTCTATCTAATGGTTATATTTTTATAAGCGCCATCCCTATCCCCTCTAAAACTGATGACGAACATTTTTAACACGTCAATTTTAATGTTAAAACCGTATCCACCTATAACAAATTTTTTACCCTGCGTGCAGAGTCTAGTTAAACTACAGCTCTCTTTTAAGAAGTGAAGTCAAACGAATGCAAAGGGTAATTTTTTTAGGATATTAATACATGCGAAACCTGCATCCAGGACTGGATATATATAAGTTTAGAAGTGGGTAAAGTTGGCTGCATATTGGTATTGGGATTGGGATTCAAAATGACCAGCAGCTAGTGAGCTTGAATGTCAATACCAATACAAATATGAAACCTAATACAAAATATGGTTAAGTATATCATTATACCAATAAATGTTGATGTTTATGTATCAAATGTACTCGAATGTCAATACCAATACAAATATGAGCTCATATTAGGATTCGCCAATTATGTTTGAATCCCGATTTCAATCCCAATATGAATCCTAATATGGTTATTTATATCCTTCTTGCAAAGAATGACAATTTTCTGCATCAAATGTGGTCGAATGTCAATACCAATACAAATATGAGCTCATATCAGGATTCGCCAGGTCTGTTTGAATCCTAATACGAATACTAATATGAATCCTAATATGGTTGTTTATATTATTCTAGCGAAGAAACACGACTTTTCTACAGCAAATGTGGTCGAATGTCAATACCAATACAACTATGCGCTCATATTGGGATTCGCCAACTGTGTTCGAATCCTAATACGAATCCTAATATGAATCCTAATATGGTTATCTATATCACAATAGCGAAGAAACACGATACTTCTACAGCAAATGTGGTCGAATGTCAATACCAATACAAATATGAGGTCATATTAAGATTTGCCAGGTCTGTTTGAATCCTAATACGAATACTAATATGAATCCTAATACGATTGTTCATATCATTCTAGCGAAGAAACACGACTTTTCTACAGCAAATGTGGTCGAATGTCAATACCAATACAAATATGAGGTCATATTAAGATTTGCCGGGTCTGTTTGAATCCTAATACGAATACTAATATGAATCCTCATACGGTTGTTTATATCATTCTAGCGAAAAGACACGACTTTTCTACAGCAAATGTGGAGAAACTATGCGTTCATATTGGGATTCACCAACTGTGTTCGAATCCTAATACGAATCCTAATATGAATCCTAATATGGTTATCTATATCACAATAGCGAAGAAACACGATACTTCTACAGCAAATGTGGTTGAATGTCAATACCAATACAAATATGAGGTCATATTAAGATTTGCCAGGTCTGTTTGAATCCTAATACGAATACTAATATGAATCCTAATACGGTTGTTTATATCATTCTAGCGAAGAAACACGACTTTTCTATAGCAAATGTGGTCAAATGCCAATACCAATACAACAATGCGTTCATATTGGGATTCGCCAACTGTGTTCAAATCCTAATACGAATCCTAATATGAATACTAATATGGTTATCTATATCACAATAGCGTAGAAAGACGATTTGTTTATAGCAAATGTGGTTGAATGTCAACACCAATACAAATATGAGTTCATATTAGGATTCGCCAACTATGTTTGACTCCCAATTTCAATCCTAATATGAATCCTAATATGGTTGTTTATATCATTCTAGTGAAGAAACACAAATTTTCTACAGCAAATGTGGTCGAATGTCAATACCAATACAACTATGCGTTCATATTGGGATTCGCCAACTGTGTTCGAATCCTAATACGAATCCTAATATGAATGCTAATATGGTTATCTATATCACAATAGCGTAGAAAGACGATTTGTCTATAGCAAATGTGGTTGAATGTCAACACCAATACAAATATGAGTTCATATTAGGATTCGCAAACTATGTTTGAATCCCAATTTCAATCCTAATATGAATCCTAATATGGTTGTTTAAATCATTCTAGTGAAGAAACACAAATTTTCTACAGCAAATGTGGTCGAATGTCAATACCAATACAACTATGCGTTCATATTGGGATTCGCCAACTGTGTTCGAATCCTAATACGAATCCTAATATGAATACTAATATGGTTATCTATATCACAATAGCGTAGAAAGACGATTTGTCCATAGCAAATGTCGTTGAATGTCAACACCAATACAAATATGAATTCATTTTAGGATTCGCCAACTATGTTTGAATCCCAATTTCAATCCTAATATGAATCCTAATATGGTTGTTCATATCATTCTAGTGAAGAAACACAAATTTTCTACAGCAAATGTGGTCGAATGTCAATACCAATACAACTCTGCGTTCATATTGGGATTCGCCAACTGTGTTCGAATCCTAATACAAATCCTAATATAAATACTAATATGGTTATCTTTATCACAATAGCGTAGAAAGACGATTTGGCTATAGCAAATGTGGTTGAATGTCAACACCAATACAAATATGAGTTCATATTAGGATTCGCCAACTATGTTTGAATCCCAATTTCAATCCTAATATGAATCCTAATATGGTTATCTTTATCACAATAGCGAAGAAACACGATACTTCTACAGCAAATGTGGTCGAATGTCAATATCAATACAATTATGAGCTCATATTAGGATTCACCAACTCTGTTTGAATCCTAATATGAATACTAATATGAATCCTAATACGGTTGTTTATATCATTCTAGCGAAGAAAGATGACTT